TCCCCCATTGCCTTCGTTGCCGCGCCCATTGCCATGCACGCATGCACACATACACTCGTACACTTCACCTTGTGCGCCCTCACTATCTTCTTCCACTCCCCTGTACCCTCCTCCCTTCCCCTCCCCCCTCACCATACCCCAGGGACGGCAAGGTGGATCCATCCAAGGCGCGCCCGCTGCCGCTGGGTTTTGACGAGTTCATCAGGGGCGAGGAGATGGAGCAGGAGGAGGACGACGAGGACGAGGAGCAGGAGAGTGAGGAGGCGCGGCGCCTCAAGACCCCCGAGCAGCTGCAGCGAGATGCGGAGCGCCGCCGCGCCAAGGCGGCGGAAGCCAGGCGGCGCCGCGTGGCGCGGTGGGAGCGGGCGCTGCGCAACCAGGTGGCGTCGCGGCGCGAGCAGCGCGAGGAGGAGTGGGCGCGGCAGGACGCGGAGGAGGAGGAGCTGCGGCGGCTGGAGGAGGAGGAGTGGCAGCGCGAAGGGGACCTCATGGATGCCGAGTTTGAGGCCCGGCTCGATGCTGCCGAGGGGATCCTGCCCGCGGAGGAGGAGGAAGAGGAGGAAGTGGCGCAGCAGGGGCAGGAGGAGGATGCGGCTGGCAAGGGGGTTGTGAAGGGCGGTGCTGCAACTGGGAAGGCTGCTGCTGGTGGCTCTGGGGTGGCAGAGGAGGAGGGGTCAGAGAGCGAGAGTGAGGGTGAGAGTGATGATGAGGACGACGATGAGGAGGAGAGGAAGCCGCGGAGCTTTGGAACGGTGGCCATGGCGGTGGGAGGGAGCGAGGGCAGGGAGGAGGGCGGGGCGGGGGAAGGGTGGCTAAGGGGCCCAGCTGCAGCAGGCGGCACTACAGTGTTTGCGTCCATCTCGCTCTCCTCTCAGGTGCGTGCACCTGCTTCTCCTTCTGAGCTGACGCAAAAGTCGCCTCTCTCTGCTGTCCGCACAGATAGGTGCACATGCCTGTTCTGGGCACATCTAAACACCGTCAAACTTGTACCAATTCTTCTTTGCGCCAATGCTACTCTTCCTTGCCTTCCTTTCTTCCCTCTCATTACCCTCGTCCCTCTCACCATCCCTCTCTCCACCCGCACCCCGCCCACCAGGTGGCACTGCAGCACGCCCTCCATCACGCCGCACGCTCCATCTCCTCCCTCCGCCGCCTCCTCCCTTCACCCTCCCCTTCCACCCCCACTTCGTTGCTCTCACCTGCCTCCACCCCCTTAGCCTCCCCCTCCCTGCCTCCTGCACCGGCACTAACGGTGCGCATGCCTGCCGTGCTGCCTCTCGTACCGTGCCTGCGTGCATCAGTCCTGTCCTCTGCTGCACGCCGCGCGCCCGTTGCTAAGAGCAGCTCACGTGGCGCTTCTAGAGCCACCAAGGCCCAGCAGCAGCAGCACCCCCAGGAGGTGGCGGTGGGGGGCATTCTCTCCCTTGCCCTGCCCCTGCCTGCCACTCCCTCCCTTGCCTAGTCTGTGAGGTGCTGCTGAGAATGTGACACTTGTGCAACTCTAGACCTGGAATAGGCTTGCCAGACCACAGGTTTGAGAGATCAATAAACATCTAATGCAAGTTGTTGGACCAAAGCTATGACTCATAACAGTACCGAGACATCAATCACAGCTTGGTTGCATGTGATTCAAGGTATATTGCTGGTGTTTCCTTGTGGTTGAGGGGAACAAGGATTGCACCTTGGAGCAAAGTAAGCATTTCCACACACGTATTCTCCATCAAGCAATTCAGAAGTGTGACTTGTACTCAAAGACTATCCTGCAGAAATCCATTACCCAACTACAGCATCCATAGGTAGGTACATCAAGACTTTATTCCTACACGCATGCCTTCACCATGTGTCCTTGCCTATACCCATCAGCTACCAACACACCCCGTCCACCCCGACAACAGTCAGGTCTCCAATCCTCTACCACTGCCGTTCCGCCTAAACAACTCCCCCTCCCTCACCCTGCACATATCCACATGCCTGGCACAACCACATGCGTGTGTGAGAGAGAGTGCACCCGGCAGCAGGCAGCGGCGAGTGGTTAGTAGTAAGGCTTTTCATCCCACGCCCAGGAGCGCCAGTTGTCGCCGATGTAAGGCGGCTCGGGGTTCCAGTTCCAGGGGCGGCCGTTGAGCTTGCCGCCGGGTGGCACGTACCCGTTGCCCGCGAAGAGCTCCTTAGCGCGCCCGCGGATGTTGGGGATGTAGCACAGCTGCCGCCCGTCGCCGCGGTACGGCTGGCGCGCGCAGCGCATGAGCTCGTCCACCCAGTAGACGTACCCCACGGACTCGAGCCACTTGTTGCCGAACGCCATGCGCCCCACGGCCGCGGGGTTGGCGCCCGGGCACGTGACGCCGATGCTCTTGTTGACTGCGGGGTCCCAGTAGATCCCCACGTCATTCGGCTCCATGGACGCGCACGCGCACGTGTACCGGTACCACAAGCCGTAGTTGCTGTCCTTGTCGCAGTAGAACGGCTTCGTCAGGTCATTGCCCTTGATCGCCTCCGCGCCCAGCTTCCCCCCGCCGGAGCTGAGCACTACCAGCACCGCGAACAGCAGCGCCACGCGCACCGAGCGGAGTCCCATGATTCGTGGCCAACTAGCTAAGGAGATCGCTAAAACGGAGTGGATGCGCAGAAGAATTGTGATATCGCCCAGAAGAGTTGTTGTGTTCCCATTGATGACTCTAGCACTAAACAAGCCTTCTTATGCATCCTTCGGCTTAGTGGAATTGCCGAATCGTGCTTAGGCGCGGCTCGCTGAGACCAAGAAGGACGATGCGAATTCATGTGAAATGGCGACTCGTGAGGGATGCGAGAGGAGGAAGCGGAGGTTGCGGCAGAAAGGGACGGTTGATCTCCTACAAGAGGTTGCCAACCGCTGTTCCGATAGGAGTTGGTTTCGAGTTTCGGCATCCTCGAAAACGTTGTACACTACGAATCATGGAGAGGAATGTGGTGTCGTAAAAGTTGTAATTGCGCGCAGATCTTATTCTGTGTGGCACAAATGCTTTCGACGCCTGCGTGGCATGATGTATGGTAACCAGCAGAAAGGGACTCTTGTAGCGAAATTTGTCAAAGGGCGCGCTCCAGATGGCAAGATCTCAGAGCTGGTTTCTTCTTACGTGGCTTGGTGGCGGATAGGACTCCGCGTCCCGCACACCATCCTCCGCCACAAACGAACCCCCCAAACCTTTCAGCTGGTGATGTTCGGCAACTTCAGGGGCGGGCTGCTGTGGCGTTCAACCCGTTCCCGCGCATTGCACTTCCGCCTTCCTGACGTTTTTGCCTGCCAGCTTTCACCTTCCCGCCCCCGCATCTCCCCTCCGCTTCCCCCCACCACCCCCGCCCCACCAGCCCACGGCGCTTCTGTCGCCCTTGGGATCTCCTTTCCCCCCATCGGTCATCCCGTGCCTTCCCTTCCCTCCCATCGCTGCTCTCACCTCAACCTGCTCTTGCTGTAGTCCCGCAGGCATCGCCTCTTGCTCCTAGTCTCCACGTCTGACTAGGTGTGATTCGCTGCAATGGCTGCCGTCGCTTCCACCATGGCCACCAGCCTCTCCGCGAGGAGCCTCAACACCGCCTTCGTCGGCGGAAAGAGCCTCCGCTCCGCTGCGAAGCTGCCGTCAGTCGTGAGCGCCGCTAGGTTGGTCGCGGAGGCCAGGCAGGAGAAGGCCGTCAGCAGCTCCTCCGTCGCGTCCGCCGCGTCGTCCGTCGTCGAGGGAATCTTCGGCGAGAAGGCGACGAGGCAGATGCACCACGCTGCGATTATTGCGATGAATGCGATGATCGCCATGCCAGCGTTCGCCGAGGAGGAGAAGGGAAAGATCTTCGACTTCAACCTGACCCTCCCCATCATCGTCGTCCAGTTCCTCCTCCTCATGGTTGCCCTCGATAACATCTGGTTCAAGCCGGTTTCAACGGTCATGGATTCCCGCGACGAGGAGATCAGGAAGAAGCTCATCGGCGTGAGGGACAACTCGGGCGAGATTAAGGAGCTGCAGAGCCAGGCCGAGGCGTTGATTAAGGCGGCTCGCGCGGAGGCGTCAGGGCAAATGAACAAGATGAAGAAGGAGGTGGCTGCTGAGCTGGACGCGAAGCTGCAGGCGTACCGGGCGCGCATCGAGAAGGAGCTCGAGTCGTCGCTCGCGAACCTCGAGACGCAGAAGGAGGCGACGCTCAAGAGCCTAGACTCGCAGGTGTCGGCTCTCAGCGACGAGATCGTGAACAAGGTCATTCCCTTCAAGGCGTGATCCGTGCCGCACGGTTGTACTTGAGATAAGCTCCAATTATAAAGCCCACATTTTTTTATAACCGCGTATGCTTGTTCGTTTGCAAGACCGGGATGCGAGGGTCAGGCTTGGCACACCGAGACGTGTGAGCAGGGGGGTGCTATCTGTACAGGCGCCTCGGTGCACAGCCATCCCCTCTTCCAAGAGCTTTAACTTACTCACAGTCATGATTACTTGCATTACATCACACTCACTCCCTCAAAGACTCACTCACACTTGGACACTCCCTCACTCGCTCACAGGGCGCTGTGAGCTGAGCAGCAGGGTGCTGTCAGGACAGGCATATCCAAGATTCTATGCGCCCTATGGGATGGTGCAGGCCTCACAGAGGGAATAACGAAAGAGCCTAACCTACTTGAAAGGAATGTGCCAGTATGCCCTTACCTAAGCAACAGCCAAAAGGAGAGAAATACCGTAAATGCATCCATGGAGCCAGGAGCTTGGTCCAGGAGCTTGGCTCCATCTGGTGGTGGCATGCTGGACAGTGAAAACAGCAATGCACTGTTTGCCAGCATGCAATGCAAGGCATCTGTGACCTTCCTGGTGGTACCATTCTACAGATCTAAAAAAATGCTCCAGTATGAAGCTCAGTCCTGGTTGTGTGCTGGAGAGGAATAAATGAATGCCAGATTCATAAGGCCAAAGTTTACAAAAGAACTTGGTGTAGAACGGTGCGTCTGCCAATGTGCCAATCTGGGGCATGTCTGTGTGCATCATCTACAGCTCATCCTTCACCTCCTGTGAGGACCCTGCTACCTCCTCCCCTCTTCCACCCTCTTCCCTTCTCAGCTCCTCCTCCTCTGCCCTCAAAGTCGCATCCTCTACCACCACATTCCCTCCAGCCGCTGCACCAGTACCAGCCTCCCCACTAGCAGCTGTCTCAACACCCCCTGGCTTCCTCTCCGCCTCTCCTCTCTCCCCCTCCACCGCCTCACCCCCCTCGCCCTCGCGCACCACACACGCGTCCCACGCCGCGCGGCCGGCGCTCTCAGCGTCCTTGCGGGGGGTGTGCCACGTGGCGTGCACTGCCATCTTGTGGGGCGGCTTGGAGTAGGACGCTATCAGCTGCAGCTCCTCTGCGCCGTCGTTCACAATCTGACCACCACCCGGGTGGACGGTTGTGGGGGAATGAGAGGGGGAAAAGAGTGTGGGTGTGAAGCTAGCAAGGCGGAATGTGACGGCTTACAGGAGGAGAGGTCAAAAAGCGATTGCATAGCTTATGAGTACAAAAAAAAACCCTTGCACAGCATTCATCCGGTGCAGGGCGGTCAGCGTACCTGGTGCTCCTACTTGTCGATGTCTACCTGGTGCAGGGCCTTGGGTTGGAAGGTGACGGTGGTGTTGCGCTTGACTGCATGGGCGGACGGCTCTGTCTTCTTCTCCTCCACCACCCACACCTTGCCCTCGCCTCGCGTGAACACCACCACCTCCTCCTGCCACCACCACGCCACCAGCAGCACTCAGCACGCAGCACACACAGCAGCACACAGCGCAAAACGAGCAGCAAGCAGAATGCCGCGACATACGCACAGCAATTACACGCCGGTCAGTCACATAGCCATGGCGTGCTTGCAAATAAAACATAGTCAGAGCGGATAAAACACACCGGACAGTGTGAGCGCATGGGGGTGAGAGTGAATTGGGGTCACGAGTCACATGCGGGAGAGTGTATGGGGGCCATCATGCGTCACCTGCGGGTGCGAGTGGATGGGCGTCTTGGCACCAGGTGCGAACGTCATCATGAACACCTCGACGTGTTTCAGCCCGTGCTGCACCTTGCCGCCCAGCGTGATCACCGCCACGCCATCCATGCCGTAGCTGTCCTGGTAGAGGGTTCGAATCTCGCGCACCAACGGGCCGCGCGACAGGTCTTCGCAGTACGGCTCGGGATCCGCCGCCACTGCCGCTTCCGCCGCCGCTTCCGCTGGTGAGCCCGCTGCTGATTCTGCTGCTGCGCCGGTTGCGCCTGCTGCCTCCGCTTCCGCTGGTTGCGCTCCTGCGGAAGCTGCTTCCGCTGTTTCCGCGGGTGAATGCTGTGTCTCGTCAGCCGCTGATGCGTCAGCGGCGACCATGATAGGCGATGCCGCGAGCGATAGCGCAAGCAGCAGCGCGACGACGAGGAATTGTCGCACGGCGACGCGAACGCAGTCGCGGGCGACAATCGGAGCCATGACGTCGCACAGTACCACTGGAAAGAGGTGAGACTATATGGAGCGCAACGCTGAATGTTTCGGGTATGCGTGAGCTGTGTTGAGACCAAGGACGGGAATTGGAATGGCGGACGGTCAGATTCGTCGTGGCGCTGGAAAGAAGCTTCAAGAAATCTCCTCCAATATTAAAATATCCGGTTGGGGGCGAAAATTTGGGAATGATCTTGCACTGATGCAAAAAACGGTATGCAGTTTTTACAGAGAACTTCGAACAACAATGTTGAAACAATGAAATGACCGCCTGGCTAGCCTTCCATCACATGCCGTACGACTGTGCATGCAAGAGGAAAAGCGGATCAGACCACAGCACATCCTTCTCCCATCTCACCCCCTCCCCACCAGCATCAGCATTACCATTCGCCTGTATCACATCTGAGAGCACACTCTGCAGGATGGGATTCACTGGCATCTCCTGCAGCTTCCTCGCAGCTGCCTTGATCAGCTTCCTTGACCTCTCCGCATCCGTGTCTGCTGTTTGTGACCCACTCGCTGCTGCCGTGCACTCACTCCCATCCCCACTGCTACTCTCACCACACTGCTTCTTGATCTCTTCTCTGCTCTTATTTCTCCAACCCAGTGGGAGACACTCGGCACGCCTAGCCCCTGCGAACGACACTTTGCTAAGCGCCCACAACCCCAGCAGCGGCCGAATCAGGGCAGAAAAAGAGTCCTGGTGAAACGTCGGCCCGCCCACCCATTTCATCGACTTGCACAGCCGGGCAGCTTGGGCAGCCTCGGTGAAAAACCTCTTTGCAAAGACCAGCTTCCAGGTGGTGATGGTTTTGAGGAGCGCGGGGGAGGGCGGGCATTGCTGCAGTGCGTGGTGCAGGTGCAGGCAGCAGAGGTGCGCCAGCAGCAGCGGCTCCTCATGGTGGTTATCCACCTCCCTGTCAAACAGCTTGCGCACAAACCCCGGCACTGCTTCCCGCCCTGCCCTTGCTGCTCCTACTGCTGCACCTGATGCACTTGCTCTCGCTTCCCCATCCCTCCTCTCACTCCCCACTCCACTCTCCTCTTCCTCCTGCTCCTGCTCCTGCTCCTGCTCCTCCTCCTGCTGCTCATCCTCCTCACCCACCAGCTCATCTCCCAGGCGGTCCAAGGCAGAGAGGCGCTGGAAGCCCGAGGGGGACACAAAGTCCGGGTGCAACACCCAGGCAGCAAGGTGAGCGGGCAGCAGGGAGGGCGGGCAGGTGCGCAGGCACAGCGACACGTGTGCCAACGCTGCCTCCACTGCCCTCTCCACCTGGGCTGGCACAAAGTCCGATGACACTGCTGCTCTAGTGGATGGTGCGTGTGGGTGTGCAGAGTTAGCAGCAGTAGTGGCGGTGGTGGTGATGGTGAGCACGGCAGTGGCGAGGGACTTGCGGAGCGTCTCATCTTCATCCTCCATCACTCGAATCACTGTCAGCCATGCACGCAGCACCACCCTTGCATACTCCATCACTGCACCCTCCCCTCCTTCCCCACCCTCCTCTCCCTCTTTTCCCTCATCTCCCTCCACACCCTGTGCTTCACAGCGCAGCACGTGCCCCACTCTACCCACCTCCAGCAGCAGTCCAGACGACACCACTGCCTCTGCTGCCGCTCGCCGCACACTCACAGGCCGGTGCGCCGCGCTCTGCTCGCCAATCAGCTGCAGCCACGTGGCAGCCAGCTGCAGCAGGTTCCCCGTGCCCCTGCCCTGGCCCAGGGAGAAGTCTCCTGAAGTCAACAGCCCCTCCAGTGACTGCTTCGCGCCCTCCTGCTGCTGCTGTTGTTGTTCAGGCTGTGGGTTCTCCTCCTCCTCCCGCTTCCCTCCACACCCGTCCACCCGGCCATGGTGGGAGAGCAGCAGGCGGAAGCAGTGCCCCAGGCACCTCAGTGCCGCCTCCCTCGTTTTCAGCACGCGCGCCGTCTCAAATACCTCCAGCACCACCGCCCACAGCGCTGCACACCCACTCCCATCGCAGCTCGCTGCAGTGCTGTCAGGCTCGTGGGAGGGGCCGCCAGGTTGCCTCTCCTCTGCTGTCCCTGCCACTGGTGCTATCGCGGGCAGCAGGGCTTGAGGCAGCAAGGGCAGCAGGAGGGGCTGCAGGGAGGGCAGGGAGAGTGCGGGCAGCAGCACCTTGAGCAGCCGCCGGCACCTCATCTCGTCCCGCCCCTGTGCCCGCCTCTCCTGCTGCAACCCCTGCACCACTGCCAGCAGCACTGCCCCTACACCGCCCTTGCTGCTGCTGTTGCGGTGTGGCACGGTGTGGAGCGGTGGCAGCAGCGGCGCGAGCAAGCGAGGGGAGGCGAGGAGGTGCGAGAGGGAGCGGAGGGCGGAGAGTTGCACGTCTCTACAGGGTTCTTGCACTGCCGCTAGCACCACCTGCCAGAACACACCCGCACTGCTGCACACCCCGCCCTCTCCCACCCCTGCTTCTCCCCCCGTATCCCCCTCCACCGCACCCAGCCCCTCCCAAAGGCCTCGGCCTGCCAGGCACACAGCTTCTGGGGAGAGCAGCAGTGACGCGGCGGTTTGCCTGAGTGCGAGTGCTGTGGGGTCAAGAATGGTGAAGCGGAGAGGCGGGTGGAAGGAGAAGGCACGCAGGGCGAGCGGGAGAAAGGCGGCTGCTGTGGCGTGCACGATTGGGGTGAGAGGGGGTGAGGAGTGGGGCCGGGCGGTGGGGAGAGGGGTGGAGAGAGGAGGGGAGGACAGGGAGGTGGAGGAGTGGAGGGCGGAGGAGAGGAGGGCGGAGAGGGGAGGGGAGGAGTGGAGGGCGGAGGAGAGGAGGAGGTGGGAGACGGTGAGATACTCTGCGACCACGGAGGGGCAGCAGCACAAGTGCGGATCGCCCAACCAGCGCCGCTGCTGCAGCGCCTGCACCACCTCCTGCACGTCTGCTGCCCTGCTGCTCGCCTCGCCTTCCCCCTGCTGCTGCTGCTGCTGCTGCTGCTGCTGCTGCTGCTGCTGCTGCTGCTGCTGCTGCTGCTGCTGCTGCTGCTGCTGTTGCTGCTGCTGCTGCTGCTGCTGCTGGCCTGTGCTGCCGGCAACCCAGTAGGCAGCAAGCAGGTGGCGCATGTGCAGCAGCACACCATGCACTGCATTGTACCCCATTGCTGCACCCACGTTGTTCCCCACTGCTTCACCCTCTCTTCCACCCCCACTGTCACCTCCCTTGTCATATTCCTTATCCGTTACCTTCTCACTACCCTTCTGACTTCCCTTCTCACTTCTTCCCCCCTCACCTCCAACCATCCCACCCAGCCCACCCCTCCTTCCCCACTCGTCAGGGAGACTGCGAGCCAGCTTTAGAAGCATCCCAAAAACTTCCGTGGAGGCCACAATGGGCACGAGTGCGCGGGCAGCGAGCTCTCGGACGTGCATGCGGGGGTGGGCAGCGCAGAGCGAGACGTGCGGCACGAAGGCAGAGGGGGAGAGGAAGGAGGAGGGCGAGGGGGAGGTCAGGGTGGAGGGCTTGAGGCGCGACAGCAGGATGAGCGCGGGTGCCAGGGCCGGGTGCAGCGGCTGGGAGGAGGTGGGGGAAGAGGAGGCGGACGAAGCGGAGGTGGTGGCGGTGGCAGTGGCGGTGGAGGTGGGGGAATCGTCAGCAGGCGGGTCGGGTAGATCAGCAGGGGGTTGCTCAGCAGGGGGGTGCTGAGCAGGTGGGAGGAAGGCGAGTGTGGCCTCACGAAGGTGTCGGAGGAAGAAGGCGTGCAGGTCAGGGTATCGCAGGAAGAACTCCACAGCCGTCATGCTCTGCCGCGCCGTCTGCTTGCACACCACCTGCTCCCGCGCCCACGGCCTCCCCGCCCGCGGCACGTTCTTAAAGCCCAGCATGCGGTGCAGCAGCGCCACCAGGCACAGCCCGCCCGCATTCCGCACCTCCCAGTGCGGCGAGCGCGCGGCGGCGACGGCGGCTTGGAGAGCCGGGGAGCAGAAGGCGGAGGTGTCGGCAGCGAGGTGCGTGTCGTGGAAGGCCAGGCGCAGCACGTTCCATGCGTGCACCGCTGCCACCACTCCCTCCTCGCGTGCTTTCAGGGAGAGCGCCGGTGCTGTTGCTGCTGCTTGCACCCCTGGTGCTGCTGGTGCTGGTGCTGGCAGCCGCACTTGTCCTGCCTGCTCTGCTCGCCCACCTTTCCAATCTTCCCCTCCTTCCCCTTCCGCATCATCCCCCATCCCCTCCGCGTCTCTCCCCACCCCACCCCCTCCCTCCGCGCTCTTCACCACCTCCAACAACCACGCCACAGCACGGGGCAGCAGCACCTTGGGCGCCCCCTGGGGCTCGCCCAAAAACAGCCCCAAGAAGGCAGCGGGCAGGCCAGCAGAGCGGCGAATGAGGTCCGTGAGGGTCTGGTGCGGTGCAGTGAGGCGGCGCTGCAGCGTGGCCAGCCAGGCGCGCGGGAGGGCGTTGAGGGCGGGCGAGGGGCAGCGCAGCAGACGGTCTGTGAGGGCGATGAAGCCGGCCCGCGTCTTGTCCACGGCTCCGTTGTGCTTCATGGCTAGGAGGAGGGAGACGAAGTGATCCCCCACTTGCTGCGATGAGGGAAGAGGGAGGGAGGCGGAAGAGTTGAACGAGGGGGTGCGGAGGAGAAAGAGGGCAGTGAGAGGGTGAAGGGAGGGCATTAGGGAGACGGTTGTGTAATAAGGAGTGAAGTATGGAGAGAATAAGTGGTGGAACTATCACATGCACCTGCAAGAACATACACTTCACCGCACGCTCATACGCTGCACCGCCCGCTCATACGCTGCACCGCCTAAGCCTGTAAAAAAAACGGCCGCGTATTCGAAAATATTCGCATCACGAACATTCGTGAATGTAGAATATTTGGGTAACGGTATTCGAAATATTCGTTACTATTCGGTATTCGGCCATTAACTCCCTCCCTCCCCTGCCGCAATCATCGTTGGCAATCTGTCTACAAGAGGCCTCATGAGAGCCATGCCCAAAAGTCTAGCAAGTTAGTTGCTGGAGCGGGGTTAGCGAAAACTCATGGTGTGGGATTGAGTCGTGGTATTGATATTAATAGGTGCAATGTATCTCCCTGTGTCGAACATGTATTAGCCATTCGACACAAGCTATACAACATATCTTATTACTCGACACTTATTCGTATTCGATTCGAATTCGGCAGTATTCGAATCGTATTCGTATTGATTTTTGGGTCAGTATTCGGCCAAATAAGAAACCACACAGTATTCGGAGAATATCCAGGAAAAATATTCGTCTTCGTATTCGTATTCGTTTGTACAGGCTAAAGGTTTTGCTGCGTTGCTAGCACGCTCTGCTGCGTTGCTAGCACGCTCTGCTGCGTTGCTAGCACGCTCTGCTGCGTTGCTAGCACGCTCAGCTGCGTTGCTAGCACGCTCAGCTGCGTTGCTAGCACGCTCAGCTGCGTTGCTAGCACGCTCTGCTGCGTTGCTAGCACGCTCTGCTGCGTTGCTAGCACGCTCTGCTGCGTTGCTAGCACGCTCTGCTGCGTTGCTAGCACGCTCTGCTGCGTTGCTAGCACGCTCTGCTGCGTTGCTAGCACGCTCTGCTGCGTTGCTAGCACGCTCAGCTGCGTTGCTAGCACGCTCAGCTGCGTTGCTAGCACGCTCAGCTGCGTTGCTAGCACGCTCAGCTGCGTTGCTAGCACGCTCTGCTGCGTTGCTAGCACGCTCAGCTGCGTTGCTAGCACGCTCAGCTGCGTTGCTAGCACGCTCAGCTGCGTTGCTAGCACGCTCTGCTGCGTTGCTAGCACGCTCTGCTGCGTTGCTAGCACGCTCTGCTGCGTTGCTAGCACGCTCTGCTGCGTTGCTAGCACGCTCTGCTGCGTTGCTAGCACGCTCTGCTGCGTTGCTAGCACGCTCTGCTGCGTTGCTAGCACGCTCTGCTGCGTTGCTAGCACGCTCTGCTGCGTTGCTAGCACGCTCTGCTGCGTTGCTAGCACGCTCTGCTGCGTTGCTAGCACGCTCTGCTGCGTTGCTAGCACGCTCTGCTGCGTTGCTAGCACGCTCTGCTGCGTTGCTAGCACGCTCAGCTGCGTTGCTAGCACGCTCTGCTGCGTTGCTAGCACGCTCTGCTGCGTTGCTAGCACGCTCTGCTGCGTTGCTAGCACGCTCTGCTGCGTTGCTAGCACGCTCTGCTGCGTTGCTAGCACGCTCTGCTGCGTTGCTAGCACGCTCTGCTGCGTTGCTAGCACGCTCTGCTGCGTTGCTAGCACGCTCAGCTGCGTTGCTAGCACGCTCAGCTGCGTTGCTAGCACGCTCAGCTGCGTTGCTAGCACGCTCAGCTGCGTTGCTAGCACGCTCAGCTGCGTTGCTAGCACGCTCAGCTGCGTTGCTAGCACGCTCAGCTGCGTTGCTAGCACGCTCAGCTGCGTTGCTAGCACGCTCAGCTGCGTTGCTAGCACGCTCAGCTGCGTTGCTAGCACGCCCAGCTGCGTTGCTAGCACGCTCTGCTGCGTTGCTAGCACGCTCTGCTGCGTTGCTAGCACGCTCTGCTGCGTTGCTAGCACGCTCTGCTGCGTTGCTAGCACGCTCTGCTGCGTTGCTAGCACGCTCTGCTGCGTCGCTAGCACGCTCTGCTGCGTCGCTAGCACGCTCTGCTGCGTTGCTAGCACGCTCTGCTGCGTTGCTAGCACGCTCTGCTGCGTTGCTAGCACGCTCTGCTGCGTTGCTAGCACGCTCTGCTGCGTTGCTAGCACGCTCTGCTGCGTTGCTAGCACGCTCTGCTGCGTTGCTAGCACGCTCTGCTGCGTTGCTAGCACGCTCTGCTGCGTTGCTAGCACGCTCTGCTGCGTTGCTAGCACGCTCTGCTGCGTTGCTAGCACGCTCTGCTGCGTTGCTAGCACGCTCTGCTGCGTTGCTAGCACGCTCTGCTGCGTTGCTAGCACGCTCAGCTGCGTTGCTAGCACGCTCTGCTGCGTTGCTAGCACGCTCTGCTGCGTTGCTAGCACGCTCAGCTGCGTTGCTAGCACGCTCAGCTGCGTTGCTAGCACGCTCAGCTGCGTTGCTAGCACGCTCTGCTGCGTTGCTAGCACGCTCTGCTGCGTTGCTAGCACGCTCTGCTGCGTTGCTAGCACGCTCTGCTGCGTTGCTAGCACGCTCTGCTGCGTTGCTAGCACGCTCTGCTGCGTTGCTAGCACGCTCTGCTGCGTTGCTAGCACGCTCTGCTGCGTTGCTAGCACGCTCTGCTGCGTTGCTAGCACGCTCTGCTGCGTTGCTAGCACGCTCTGCTGCGTTGCTAGCACGCTCTGCTGCGTTGCTAGCACGCTCTGCTGCGTTGCTAGCACGCTCAGCTGCGTTGCTAGCACGCTCAGCTGCGTTGCTAGCACGCTCTGCTGCGTTGCTAGCACGCTCAGCTGCGTTGCTAGCACGCTCTGCTGCGTTGCTAGCACGCTCTGCTGCGTTGCTAGCACGCTCTGCTGCGTTGCTAGCACGCTCTGCTGCGTTGCTAGCACGCTCTGCTGCGTTGCTAGCACGCTCTGCTGCGTTGCTAGCACGCTCTGCTGCGTTGCTAGCACGCTCTGCTGCGTTGCTAGCACGCTCTGCTGCGTTGCTAGCACGCTCTGCTGCGTTGCTAGCACGCTCTGCTGCGTTGCTAGCACGCTCAGCTGCGTTGCTAGCACGCTCAGCTGCGTTGCTAGCACGCTCAGCTGCGTTGCTAGCACGCTCAGCTGCGTTGCTAGCACGCTCAGCTGCGTTGCTAGCACGCTCAGCTGCGTTGCTAGCACGCTCAGCTGCGTTGCTAGCACGCTCAGCTGCGTTGCTAGCACGCTCAGCTGCGTTGCTAGCACGCTCAGCTGCGTTGCTAGCACGCTCAGCTGCGTTGCTAGCACGCTCAGCTGCGTTGCTAGCACGCTCAGCTGCGTTGCTAGCACGCTCTGCTGCGTTGCTAGCACGCTCTGCTGCGTTGCTAGCACGCTCTGCTGCGTTGCTAGCACGCTCTGCTGCGTCGCTAGCACGCTCTGCTGCGTTGCTAGCACGCTCTGCTGCGTTGCTAGCACGCTCTGCTGCGTTGCTAGCACGCTCTGCTGCGTTGCTAGCACGCTCTGCTGCGTTGCTAGCACGCTCTGCTGCGTTGCTAGCACGCTCTGCTGCGTTGCTAGCACGCTCTGCTGCGTTGCTAGCACGCTCTGCTGCGTTGCTAGCACGCTCTGCTGCGTTGCTAGCACGCTCTGCTGCGTTGCTAGCACGCTCTGCTGCGTTGCTAGCACGCTCTGCTGCGTTGCTAGCACGCTCTGCTGCGTTGCTAGCACGCTCTGCTGCGTTGCTAGCACGCTCTGCTGCGTTGCTAGCACGCTCTGCTGCGTTGCTAGCACGCTCTGCTGCGTTGCTAGCACGCTCTGCTGCGTTGCTAGCACGCTCTGCTGCGTTGCTAGCACGCTCTGCTGCGTTGCTAGCACGCTCTGCTGCGTTGCTAGCACGCTCTGCTGCGTTGCTAGCACGCTCTGCTGCGTTGCTAGCACGCTCTGCTGCGTTGCTAGCACGCTCAGCTGCGTTGCTAGCACGCTCAGCTGCGTTGCTAGCACGCTCAGCTGCGTTGCTAGCACGCTCAGCTGCGTTGCTAGCACGCTCAGCTGCGTTGCTAGCACGCTCAGCTGCGTTGCTAGCACGCTCAGCTGCGTTGCTAGCACGCTCTGCTGCGTTGCTAGCACGCTCTGCTGCGTTGCTAGCACGCTCTGCTGCGTTGCTAGCACGCTCTGCTGCGTTGCTAGCACGCTCTGCTGCGTTGCTAGCACGCTCTGCTGCGTTGCTAGCACGCTCTGCTGCGTTGCTAGCACGCTCTGCTGCGTTGCTAGCACGCTCTGCTGCGTTGCTAGCACGCTCTGCTGCGTTGCTAGCACGCTCTGCTGCGTTGCTAGCACGCTCTGCTGCGTTGCTAGCACGCTCAGCTGCGTTGCTAGCACGCTCAGCTGCGTTGCTAGCACGCTCTGCTGCGTTGCTAGCACGCTCTGCTGCGTTGCTAGCACGCTCAGCTGCGTTGCTAGCACGCTCTGCTGCGTTGCTAGCACGCTCTGCTGCGTTGCTAGCACGCTCTGCTGCGTTGCTAGCACGCTCTGCTGCGTTGCTAGCACGCTCTGCTGCGTTGCTAGCACGCTCTGCTGCGTTGCTAGCACGCTCTGCTGCGTTGCTAGCACGCTCTGCTGCGTTGCTAGCACGCTCTGCTGCGTTGCTAGCACGCTCTGCTGCGTTGCTAGCACGCTCTGCTGCGTTGCTAGCACGCTCTGCTGCGTTGCTAGCACGCTCTGCTGCGTTGCTAGCACGCTCTGCTGCGTCGCTAGCACGCTCTGCTGCGTTGCTAGCACGCTCTGCTGCGTTGCTAGCACGCTCTGCTGCGTTGCTAGCACGCTCTGCTGCGTTGCTAGCACGCTCTGCTGCGTTGCTAGCACGCTCTGCTGCGTTGCTAGCACGCTCTGCTGCGTTGCTAGCACGCTCAGCTGCGTTGCTAGCACGCTCTGCTGCGTTGCTAGCACGCTCTGCTGCGTTGCTAGCACGCTCTGCTGCGTTGCTAGCACGCTCTGCTGCGTTGCTAGCACGCTCTGCTGCGTTGCTAGCACGCTCTGCTGCGTTGCTAGCACGCTCTGCTGCGTTGCTAGCACGCTCTGCTGCGTTGCTAGCACGCTCTGCTGCGTTGCTAGCACGCTCTGCTGCGTTGCTAGCACGCTCTGCTGCGTTGCTAGCACGCTCTGCTGCGTTGCTAGCACGCTCAGCTGCGTTGCTAGCACGCTCAGCTGCGTTGCTAGCACGCTCAGCTGCGTTGCTAGCACGCTCAGCTGCGTTGCTAGCACGCTCAGCTGCGTTGCTAGCACGCTCAGCTGCGTTGCTAGCACGCTCAGCTGCGTTGCTAGCACGCTCAGCTGCGTTGCTAGCACGCTCAGCTGCGTTGCTAGCACGCTCAGCTGCGTTGCTAGCACGCCCAGCTGCGTTGCTAGCACGCTCAGCTGCGTTGCTAGCACGCTCAGCTGCGTTGCTAGCACGCTCTGCTGCGTTGCTAGCACGCTCTGCTGCGTTGCTAGCACGCTCTGCTGCGTTGCTAGCACGCTCTGCTGCGTTGCTAGCACGCTCTGCTGCGTTGCTAGCACGCTCTGCTGCGTTGCTAGCACGCTCTGCTGCGTTGCTAGCACGCTCTGCTGCGTTGCTAGCACGCTCTGCTGCGTTGCTAGCACGCTCTGCTGCGTTGCTAGCACGCTCTGCTGCGTTGCTAGCACGCTCTGCTGCGTTGCTAGCACGCTCTGCTGCGTTGCTAGCACGCTCAGCTGCGTTGCTAGCACGCTCAGCTGCGTTGCTAGCACGCTCAGCTGCGTTGCTAGCACGCTCAGCTGCGTTGCTAGCACGCTCTGCTGCGTTGCTAGCACGCTCTGCTGCGTTGCTAGCACGCTCTGCTGCGTTGCTAGCACGCTCAGCTGCGTTGCTAGCACGCCCAGCTGCGTTGCTAGCACGCCCAGCTGCGTTGCTAGCACGCTCAGCTGCGTTGCTAGCACGCTCAGCTGCGTTGCTAGCACGCTCAGCTGCGTTGCTAGCACGCTCAGCTGCGTTGCTAGCACGCTCAGCTGCGTTGCTAGCACGCTCTGCTGCGTTGCTAGCACGCTCTGCTGCGTTGCTAGCACGCTCTGCTGCGTTGCTAGCACGCTCTGCTGCGTTGCTAGCACGCTCTGCTGCGTTGCTAGCACGCTCTGCTGCGTTGCTAGCACGCTCTGCTGCGTTGCTAGCACGCTCTGCTGCGTTGCTAGCACGCTCTGCTGCGTTGCTAGCACGCTCTGCTGCGTTGCTAGCACGCTCAGCTGCGTTGCTAGCACGCTCAGCTGCGTTGCTAGCACGCTCTGCTGCGTTGCTAGCACGCTCTGCTGCGTTGCTAGCACGCTCTGCTGCGTTGCTAGCACGCTCTGCTGCGTTGCTAGCACGCTCTGCTGCGTTGCTAGCACGCTCTGCTGCGTTGCTAGCACGCTCTGCTGCGTTGCTAGCACGCTCTGCTGCGTTGCTAGCACGCTCAGCTGCGTTGCTAGCACGCTCAGCTGCGTTGCTAGCACGCTCAGCTGCGTTGCTAGCACGCTCAGCTGCGTTGCTAGCACGCTCAGCTGCGTTGCTAGCACGCTCAGCTGCGTTGCTAGCACGCTCAGCTGCGTTGCTAGCACGCCCAGCTGCGTTGCTAGCACGCCCAGCTGCGTTGCTAGCACGCCCAGCTGCGTTGCTAGCACGCTCAGCTGCGTTGCTAGCACGCTCAGCTGCGTTGCTAGCACGCTCAGCTGCGTTGCTAGCACGCTCTGCTGCGTTGCTAGCACGCTCTGCTGCGTTGCTAGCACGCTCTGCTGCGTTGCTAGCACGCTCTGCTGCGTTGCTAGCACGCTCTGCTGCGTTGCTAGCACGCTCTGCTGCGTTGCTAGCACGCTCTGCTGCGTTGCTAGCACGCTCTGCTGCGTTGCTAGCACGCTCAGCTGCGTTGCTAGCACGCTCAGCTGCGTTGCTAGCACGCTCAGCTGCGTTGCTAGCACGCTCTGCTGCGTTGCTAGCACGCTCTGCTGCGTTGCTAGCACGCTCTGCTGCGTTGCTAGCACGCTCTGCTGCGTTGCTAGCACGCTCTGCTGCGTTGCTAGCACGCTCAGCTGCGTTGCTAGCACGCTCAGCTGCGTTGCTAGCACGCTCAGCTGCGTTGCTAGCACGCTCAGCTGCGTTGCTAGCACGCTCAGCTGCGTTGCTAGCACGCTCTGCTGCGTTGCTAGCACGCTCTGCTGCGTTGCTAGCACGCTCTGCTGCGTTGCTAGCACGCTCTGCTGCGTTGCTAGCACGCTCTGCTGCGTTGCTAGCACGCTCTGCTGCGTTGCTAGCACGCTCTGCTGCGTTGCTAGCACGCTCTGCTGCGTTGCTAGCACGCTCTGCTGCGTTGCTAGCACGCTCTGCTGCGTTGCTAGCACGCTCTGCTGCGTTGCTAGCACGCTCTGCTGCGTTGCTAGCACGCTCTGCTGCGTTGCTAGCACGCTCTGCTGCGTTGCTAGCACGCTCTGCTGCGTTGCTAGCACGCTCTGCTGCGTTGCTAGCACGCTCTGCTGCGTTGCTAGCACGCTCTGCTGCGTTGCTAGCACGCTCTGCTGCGTTGCTAGCACGCTCTGCTGCGTTGCTAGCACGCTCTGCTGCGTTGCTAGCACGCTCTGCTGCGTTGCTAGCACGCTCTGCTGCGTTGCTAGCACGCTCTGCTGCGTTGCTAGCACGCTCTGCTGCGTTGCTAGCACGCTCTGCTGCGTTGCTAGCACGCTCTGCTGCGTTGCTAGCACGCTCTGCTGCGTTGCTAGCACGCTCTGCTGCGTTGCTAGCACGCTCTGCTGCGTTGCTAGCACGCTCTGCTGCGTTGCTAGCACGCTCTGCTGCGTTGCTAGCACGCTCTGCTGCGTTGCTAGCACGCTCAGCTGCGTTGCTAGCACGCTCAGCTGCGTTGCTAGCACGCTCTGCTGCGTTGCTAGCACGCTCTGCTGCGTTGCTAGCACGCCCAGCTGCGTTGCTAGCACGCCCAGCTGCGTTGCTAGCACGCTCAGCTGCGTTGCTAGCACGCTCAGCTGCGTTGCTAGCACGCTCAGCTGCGTTGCTAGCACGCCCAGCTGCGTTGCTAGCACGCTCTGCTGCGTTGCTAGCACGCTCAGCTGCGTTGCTAGCACGCTCAGCTGCGTTGCTAGCACGCCCAGCTGCGTTGCTAGCACGCTCAGCTGCGTTGCTAGCACGCTCAGCTGCGTTGCTAGCACGCCCAGCTGCGTTGCTAGCACGCTCTGCTGCGTTGCTAGCACGCTCTGCTGCGTTGCTAGCACGCTCTGCTGCGTTGCTAGCACGCTCTGCTGCGTTGCTAGCACGCTCTGCTGCGTTGCTAGCACGCTCTGCTGCGTTGCTAGCACGCTCTGCTGCGTTGCTAGCACGCTCTGCTGCGTTGCTAGCACGCTCTGCTGCGTTGCTAGCACGCTCTGCTGCGTTGCTAGCACGCTCTGCTGCGTTGCTAGCACGCTCTGCTGCGTTGCTAGCACGCTCTGCTGCGTTGCTAGCACGCTCTGCTGCGTTGCTAGCACGCTCTGCTGCGTTGCTAGCACGCTCTGCTGCGTTGCTAGCACGCTCTGCTGCGTTGCTAGCACGCTCTGCTGCGTTGCTAGCACGCTCTGCTGCGTTGCTAGCACGCTCTGCTGCGTTGCTAGCACGCTCTGCTGCGTTGCTAGCACGCTCTGCTGCGTTGCTAGCACGCTCTGCTGCGTTGCTAGCACGCTCTGCTGCGTTGCTAGCACGCTCTGCTGCGTTGCTAGCACGCTCTGCTGCGTTGCTAGCACGCTCAGCTGCGTTGCTAGCACGCTCAGCTGCGTTGCTAGCACGCTCAGCTGCGTTGCTAGCACGCTCAGCTGCGTTGCTAGCACCCCCAGCTGTGTTGCTAGCATGCTCAGCTGCGTTGCTAGCACGCTCTGCTGCGTTGCTAGCACGCTCTGCTGCGTTGCTAGCACGCTCTGCTGCGTTGCTAGCACGCTCTGCTGCGTTGCTAGCACGCTCTGCTGCATGCTAGCACGCTCTGCTGCGTTGCTAGCACGCTCTGCTGCATGCTAGCACGCTCTGCTGCATTGCTAGCACGCTCTGCTGCGTTGCTAGCACGCTCTGCTGCGTTGCTAGCACGCTCAGCTGCGTTGCTAGCACGCTCAGCTGCGTTGCTAGCACGCTCTGCTGCGTTGCTAGCACGCTCTGCTGCGTTGCTAGCACGCTCTGCTGCGTTGCTAGCACGCTCTGCTGCGTTGCTAGCACGCTCTGCTGCGTTGCTAGCACGCTCAGCTGCGTTGCTAGCACGCCCAGCTGCGTTGCTAGCACGCCCAGCTGCGTTGCTAGCACGCTCTGCTGCGTTGCTAGCACGCTCAGCTGCGTTGCTAGCACGCTCAGCTGCGTTGCTAGCACGCTCAGCTGCGTTGCTAGCACGCCCAGCTGCGTTGCTAGCACGCCCAGCTGCGTTGCTAGCACGCTCAGCTGCGTTGCTAGCACGCTCAGCTGCGTTGCTAGCACGCTCAGCTGCGTTGCTAGCACCCCCTGCTGCGTTGCTAGCACCCCCTGCTGCGTTGCTAGCACGCTCAGCTGCGTTGCTAGCACGCTCTGCTGCGTTGCTAGCACGCTCTGCTGCGTTGCTAGCACGCTCTGCTGCGTTGCTAGCACGCTCAGCTGCGTTGCTAGCACGCTCTGCTGCGTTGCTAGCACGCTCTGCTGCGTTGCTAGCACGCTCTGCTGCGTTGCTAGCACGCTCTGCTGCGTTGCTAGCACGCTCAGCTGCGTTGCTAGCACGCTCTGCTGCGTTGCTAGCACGCTCAGCTGCGTTGCTAGCACGCTCTGCTGCGTTGCTAGCACGCTCTGCTGCGTTGCTAGCACGCCCAGCTGCGTTGCTAGCACGCTCAGCTGCGTTGCTAGCACGCTCAGCTGCGTTGCTAGCACGCTCTGCTGCGTTGCTAGCACGCTCAGCTGCGTTGCTAGCACGCTCTGCTGCGTTGCTAGCACGCTCAGCTGCGTTGCTAGCACGCTCAGCTGCGTTGCTAGCACGCTCAGCTGCGTTGCTAGCACGCTCAGCTGCGTTGCTAGCACGCCCAGCTGCGTTGCTAGCACGCTCAGCTGCGTTGCTAGCACGCTCAGCTGCGTTGCTAGCACGCTCAGCTGCGTTGCTAGCACCCCCTGCTGCGTTGCTAGCACGCTCTGCTGCGTTGCTAGCACGCTCAGCTGCGTTGCTAGCACGCTCTGCTGCGTTGCTAGCACGCTCTGCTGCGTTGCTAGCACGCTCTGCTGCGTTGCTAGCACGCTCTGCTGCGTTGCTAGCACGCTCTGCTGCGTTGCTAGCACGCTCTGCTGCGTTGCTAGCACGCTCAGCTGCGTTGCTAGCACGCTCAGCTGCGTTGCTAGCACGCTCAGCTGCGTTGCTAGCACGCTCTGCTGCGTTGCTAGCACGCTCTGCTGCGTTGCTAGCACGCTCTGCTGCGTTGCTAGCACGACCTGCTGCGTTGCTAGCACGCCCTGCTGCGTTGCTAGCACGCTCAGCTGCGTTGCTAGCACGCTCAGCTGCGTTGCTAGCACGCTCAGCTGCGTTGCTAGCACGCTCAGCTGCGTTGCTAGCACGCTCAGCTGCGTTGCTAGCACGCTCTGCTGCGTTGCTAGCACGCTCTGCTGCGTTGCTAGCACGCTCTGCTGCGTTGCTAGCACGCTCTGCTGCGTTGCTAGCACGCTCTGCTGCGTTGCTAGCACGCTCTGCTGCGTTGCTAGCACGCTCTGCTGCGTTGCTAGCACGCTCTGCTGCGTTGCTAGCACGCTCTGCTGCGTTGCTAGCACGCTCTGCTGCGTTGCTAGCACGCTCTGCTGCGTTGCTAGCACGCTCTGCTGCGTTGCTAGCACGCTCTGCTGCGTTGCTAGCACGCTCTGCTGCGTTGCTAGCACGCTCTGCTGCGTTGCTAGCACGCTCTGCTGCGTTGCTAGCACGCTCTGCTGCGTTGCTAGCACGCTCTGCTGCGTTGCTAGCACGCTCTGCTGCGTTGCTAGCACGCTCTGCTGCGTTGCTAGCACGCTCTGCTGCGTTGCTAGCACGCTCTGCTGCGTTGCTAGCACGCTCTGCTGCGTTGCTAGCACGCTCTGCTGCGTTGCTAGCACGCTCTGCTGCGTTGCTAGCACGCTCTGCTGCGTTGCTAGCACGCTCTGCTGCGTTGCTAGCACGCTCTGCTGCGTTGCTAGCACGCTCTGCTGCGTTGCTAGCACGCTCTGCTGCGTTGCTAGCACGCTCTGCTGCGTTGCTAGCACGCTCTGCTGCGTTGCTAGCACGCTCTGCTGCGTTGCTAGCACGCTCTGCTGCGTTGCTAGCACGCTCTGCTGCGTTGCTAGCACGCTCTGCTGCGTTGCTAGCACGCTCTGCTGCGTTGCTAGCACGCTCTGCTGCGTTGCTAGCACGCTCTGCTGCGTTGCTAGCACGCTCAGCTGCGTTGCTAGCACGCTCTGCTGCGTTGCTAGCACGCTCTGCTGCGTTGCTAGCACGCTCAGCTGCGTTGCTAGCACGCTCTGCTGCGTTGCTAGCACGCTCTGCTGCGTTGCTAGCACGCTCTGCTGCGTTGCTAGCACGCTCTGCTGCGTTGCTAGCACGCCCAGCTGCGTTGCTAGCACGCTCAGCTGCGTTGCTAGCACGCTCAGCTGCGTTGCTAGCACGCCCAGCTGCGTTGCTAGCACGCTCAGCTGCGTTGCTAGCACGCTCAGCTGCGTCGCTAGCACGCTCAGCTGCGTCGCTAGCACGCTCAGCTGCGTTGCTAGCACGCCCAGCTGCGTTGCTAGCACGCCCAGCTGCGTTGCTAGCACGCTCTGCTGCGTTGCTAGCACGCTCTGCTGCGTTGCTAGCACGCTCTGCTGCGTTGCTAGCACGCTCTGCTGCGTTGCTAGCACGCTCTGCTGCGTTGCTAGCACGCTCTGCTGCGTTGCTAGCACGCTCTGCTGCGTTGCTAGCACGCTCTGCTGCGTTGCTAGCACGCTCTGCTGCGTTGCTAGCACGCTCTGCTGCGTTGCTAGCACGCTCTGCTGCGTTGCTAGCACGCTCAGCTGCGTTGCTAGAACCCCCAGCTGCGTTGCTAGAACGCCCAGCTGCGTTGCTAGCACGCCCAGCTGCGTTGCTAGCACGCTCAGCTGCGTTGCTAGCACGCCCAGCTGCGTTGCTAGCACGCTCTGCTGCGTTGCTAGCACGCTCTGCTGCGTTGCTAGCACGCTCTGCTGCGTTGCTAGCACGCTCAGCTGCGTTGCTAGCACGCTCAGCTGCGTTGCTAGCACGCTCAGCTGCGTTGCTAGCACGCTCAGCTGCGTTGCTAGCACCCCCAGCTGTGTTGCTAGCATGCTCAGCTGCGTTGCTAGCACGCTCTGCTGCGTTGCTAGCACGCTCTGCTGCGTTGCTAGCACGCTCTGCTGCGTTGCTAGCACGCTCTGCTGCGTTGCTAGCACGCTCTGCTGCATGCTAGCACGCTCTGCTGCGTTGCTAGCACGCTCTGCTGCATGCTAGCACGCTCTGCTGCATTGCTAGCACGCTCTGCTGCGTTGCTAGCACGCTCTGCTGCGTTGCTAGCACGCTCAGCTGCGTTGCTAGCACGCTCAGCTGCGTTGCTAGCACGCTCTGCTGCGTTGCTAGCACGCTCTGCTGCGTTGCTAGCACGCTCTGCTGCGTTGCTAGCACGCTCTGCTGCGTTGCTAGCACGCTCTGCTGCGTTGCTAGCACGCTCAGCTGCGTTGCTAGCACGCCCAGCTGCGTTGCTAGCACGCCCAGCTGCGTTGCTAGCACGCTCTGCTGCGTTGCTAGCACGCTCAGCTGCGTTGCTAGCACGCTCAGCTGCGTTGCTAGCACGCTCAGCTGCGTTGCTAGCACGCCCAGCTGCGTTGCTAGCACGCCCAGCTGCGTTGCTAGCACGCTCAGCTGCGTTGCTAGCACGCTCAGCTGCGTTGCTAGCACGCTCAGCTGCGTTGCTAGCACCCCCTGCTGCGTTGCTAGCACGCTCTGCTGCGTTGCTAGCACGCTCAGCTGCGTTGCTAGCACGCTCTGCTGCGTTGCTAGCACGCTCTGCTGCGTTGCTAGCACGCTCTGCTGCGTTGCTAGCACGCTCAGCTGCGTTGCTAGCACGCTCTGCTGCGTTGCTAGCACGCTCTGCTGCGTTGCTAGCACGCTCTGCTGCGTTGCTAGCACGCTCTGCTGCGTTGCTAGCACGCTCTGCTGCGTTGCTAGCACGCTCTGCTGCGTTGCTAGCACGCTCTGCTGCATGCTAGCACGCTCTGCTGCGTTGCTAGCACGCTCTGCTGCGTTGCTAGCACGCTCAGCTGCGTTGCTAGCACGCTCAGCTGCGTTGCTAGCACGCTCAGCTGCGTTGCTAGCACGCTCAGCTGCGTTGCTAGCACGCTCAGCTGCGTTGCTAGCACGCTCAGCTGCGTTGCTAGCACGCTCTGCTGCGTTGCTAGCACGCTCTGCTGCGTTGCTAGCACGCCCAGCTGCGTTGCTAGCACGCCCAGCTGCGTTGCTAGCACGCTCAGCTGCGTTGCTAGCACGCTCAGCTGCGTTGCTAGCACGCTCAGCTGCGTTGCTAGCACGCCCAGCTGCGTTGCTAGCACGCTCTGCTGCGTTGCTAGCACGCTCAGCTGCGTTGCTAGCACGCTCAGCTGCGTTGCTAGCACGCCCAGCTGCGTTGCTAGCACGCTCAGCTGCGTTGCTAGCACGCTCAGCTGCGTTGCTAGCACGCCCAGCTGCGTTGCTAGCACGCTCTGCTGCGTTGCTAGCACGCTCTGCTGCGTTGCTAGCACGCTCTGCTGCGTTGCTAGCACGCTCTGCTGCGTTGCTAGCACGCTCTGCTGCGTTGCTAGCACGCTCTGCTGCGTTGCTAGCACGCTCTGCTGCGTTGCTAGCACGCTCTGCTGCGTTGCTAGCACGCTCTGCTGCGTTGCTAGCACGCTCTGCTGCGTTGCTAGCACGCTCTGCTGCGTTGCTAGCACGCTCTGCTGCGTTGCTAGCACGCTCTGCTGCGTTGCTAGCACGCTCTGCTGCGTTGCTAGCACGCTCTGCTGCGTTGCTAGCACGCTCTGCTGCGTTGCTAGCACGCTCTGCTGCGTTGCTAGCACGCTCTGCTGCGTTGCTAGCACGCTCTGCTGCGTTGCTAGCACGCTCTGCTGCGTTGCTAGCACGCTCTGCTGCGTTGCTAGCACGCTCTGCTGCGTTGCTAGCACGCTCTGCTGCGTTGCTAGCACGCTCTGCTGCGTTGCTAGCACGCTCTGCTGCGTTGCTAGCACGCTCTGCTGCGTTGCTAGCACGCTCAGCTGCGTTGCTAGCACGCTCAGCTGCGTTGCTAGCACGCTCAGCTGCGTTGCTAGCACGCCCAGCTGCGTTGCTAGCACGCTCAGCTGCGTTGCTAGCACGCTCAGCTGCGTTGCTAGCACGCTCTGCTGCGTTGCTAGCACGCTCTGCTGCGTTGCTAGCACGCTCTGCTGCGTTGCTAGCACGCTCTGCTGCGTTGCTAGCACGCTCTGCTGCATGCTAGCACGCTCTGCTGCGTTGCTAGCACGCTCTGCTGCATGCTAGCACGCTCTGCTGCATTGCTAGCACGCTCTGCTGCGTTGCTAGCACGCTCTGCTGCGTTGCTAGCACGCTCAGCTGCGTTGCTAGCACGCTCAGCTGCGTTGCTAGCACGCTCTGCTGCGTTGCTAGCACGCTCTGCTGCGTTGCTAGCACGCTCTGCTGCGTTGCTAGCACGCTCTGCTGCGTTGCTAGCACGCTCTGCTGCGTTGCTAGCACGCTCAGCTGCGTTGCTAGCACGCCCAGCTGCGTTGCTAGCACGCCCAGCTGCGTTGCTAGCACGCTCTGCTGCGTTGCTAGCACGCTCAGCTGCGTTGCTAGCACGCTCAGCTGCGTTGCTAGCACGCTCAGCTGCGTTGCTAGCACGCTCAGCTGCGTTGCTAGCACGCTCAGCTGCGTTGCTAGCACGCTCAGCTGCGTTGCTAGCACGCTCAGCTGCGTTGCTAGCACGCTCTGCTGCGTTGCTAGCACGCTCTGCTGCGTTGCTAGCACGCTCAGCTGCGTTGCTAGCACGCTCTGCTGCGTTGCTAGCACGCTCTGCTGCGTTGCTAGCACGCTCAGCTGCGTTGCTAGCACGCTCTGCTGCGTTGCTAGCACGCTCTGCTGCGTTGCTAGCACGCTCAGCTGCGTTGCTAGCACGCTCAGCTGCGTTGCTAGCACGCTCAGCTGCGTTGCTAGCACGCTCAGCTGCGTTGCTAGCACGCTCAGCTGCGTTGCTAGCACGCTCAGCTGCGTTGCTAGCACGCTCAGCTGCGTTGCTAGCACGCCCAGCTGCGTTGCTAGCACGCCCAGCTGCGTTGCTAGCACGCCCAGCTGCGTTGCTAGCACGCCCAGCTGCGTTGCTAGCACGCTCTGCTGCGTTGCTAGCACGCTCTGCTGCGTTGCTAACATGCTCTGCTGCGTTGCTAGCACGCTCTGCTGCGTTGCTAGCACGCTCTGCTGCGTTGCTAGCACGCTCTGCTGCGTTGCTAGCACGCTCTGCTGCGTTGCTAGCACGCTCTGCTGCGTTGCTAGCACGCTCTGCTGCGTTGCTAGCACGCTCTGCTGCGTTGCTAGCACGCTCTGCTGCGTTGCTAGCACGCTCTGCTGCGTTGCTAGCACGCTCTGCTGCGTTGCTAGCACGCTCTGCTGCGTTGCTAGCACGCTCTGCTGCGTTGCTAGCACGCTCTGCTGCGTTGCTAGCACGCTCTGCTGCGTTGCTAGCACGCTCTGCTGCGTTGCTAGCACGCTCTGCTGCGTTGCTAGCACGCTCTGCTGCGTTGCTAGCACGCTCTGCTGCGTTGCTAGCACGCTCTGCTGCGTTGCTAGCACGCTCTGCTGCGTTGCTAGCACGCTCTGCTGCGTTGCTAGCACGCTCTGCTGCGTTGCTAGCACGCTCAGCTGCGTTGCTAGCACGCTCAGCTGCGTTGCTAGCACGCTCAGCTGCGTTGCTAGCACGCTCAGCTGCGTTGCTAGCACCCCCAGCTGTGTTGCTAGCATGCTCAGCTGCGTTGCTAGCACGCTCTGCTGCGTTGCTAGCACGCTCTGCTGCGTTGCTAGCACGCTCTGCTGCGTTGCTAGCACGCTCTGCTGCGTTGCTAGCACGCTCTGCTGCATGCTAGCACGCTCTGCTGCGTTGCTAGCACGCTCTGCTGCATGCTAGCACGCTCTGCTGCATTGCTAGCACGCTCTGCTGCGTTGCTAGCACGCTCTGCTGCGTTGCTAGCACGCTCAGCTGCGTTGCTAGCACGCTCAGCTGCGTTGCTAGCACGCTCTGCTGCGTTGCTAGCACGCTCTGCTGCGTTGCTAGCACGCTCTGCTGCGTTGCTAGCACGCTCTGCTGCGTTGCTAGCACGCTCTGCTGCGTTGCTAGCACGCTCAGCTGCGTTGCTAGCACGCCCAGCTGCGTTGCTAGCACGCCCAGCTGCGTTGCTAGCACGCTCTGCTGCGTTGCTAGCACGCTCAGCTGCGTTGCTAGCACGCTCAGCTGCGTTGCTAGCACGCTCAGCTGCGTTGCTAGCACGCCCAGCTGCGTTGCTAGCACGCCCAGCTGCGTTGCTAGCACGCTCAGCTGCGTTGCTAGCACGCTCAGCTGCGTTGCTAGCACGCTCAGCTGCGTTGCTAGCACCCCCTGCTGCGTTGCTAGCACCCCCTGCTGCGTTGCTAGCACGCTCAGCTGCGTTGCTAGCACGCTCTGCTGCGTTGCTAGCACGCTCTGCTGCGTTGCTAGCACGCTCTGCTGCGTTGCTAGCACGCTCAGCTGCGTTGCTAGCACGCTCTGCTGCGTTGCTAGCACGCTCTGCTGCGTTGCTAGCACGCTCTGCTGCGTTGCTAGCACGCTCTGCTGCGTTGCTAGCACGCTCTGCTGCGTTGCTAGCACGCTCTGCTGCGTTGCTAGCACGCTCTGCTGCATGCTAGCACGCTCTGCTGCATTGCTAGCACGCTCTGCTGCGTTGCTAGCACGCTCAGCTGCGTTGCTAGCACGCTCAGCTGCGTTGCTAGCACGCTCAGCTGCGTTGCTAGCACGCTCAGCTGCGTTGCTAGCACGCTCAGCTGCGTTGCTAGCACGCTCAGCTGCGTTGCTAGCACGCTCTGCTGCGTTGCTAGCACGCTCTGCTGCGTTGCTAGCACGCCCAGCTGCGTTGCTAGCACGCCCAGCTGCGTTGCTAGCACGCTCAGCTGCGTTGCTAGCACGCTCAGCTGCGTTGCTAGCACGCTCAGCTGCGTTGCTAGCACGCCCAGCTGCGTTGCTAGCACGCTCTGCTGCGTTGCTAGCACGCTCTGCTGCGTTGCTAGCACGCTCTGCTGCGTCGCTAGCACGCTCTGCTGCGTCGCTAGCACGCTCTGCTGCGTCGCTAGCACGCTCTGCTGCGTCGCTAGCACGCTCTGCTGCGTCGCTAGCACGCTCTGCTGCGTTGCTAGCACGCTCTGCTGCGTTGCTAGCACGCTCTGCTGCGTTGCTAGCACGCTCTGCTGCGTTGCCAGCACCCTCTGCTGCGTTGCCAGCACCCTCTGCTGCGTTGCTAGCACGCTCTGCTGCGTTGCTAGCACGCTCTGCTGCGTTGCTAGCACGCTCTGCTGCGTTGCTAGCACGCTCTGCTGCGTTGCTAGCACGCTCAGCTGCGTTGCTACCATGCTCTGCTGCGTTGCTAGCACGCTCTGCTGCGTTGCTAGCACGCTCTGCTGCGTTGCTAGCACGCTCTGCTGCGTTGCTAGCACGCTCTGCTGCGTTGCTAGCACGCTCTGCTGCGTTGCTAGCACGCTCTGCTGCGATGCTAGCACGCTCTGCTGCGATGCTAGCACGCTCTGCTGCGTTGCTAGCACGCTCTGCTGCGTTGCTAGCACGCTCTGCTGCGTTGCTAGCACGCTCTGCTGCGTTGCTAGCACGCTCTGCTGCGTTGCTAGCACGCTCTGCTGCGTTGCTAGCACGCTCAGCTGCGTTGCTAGCACGCTCTGCTGCGTTGCTAGCACGCTCTGCTGCGTTGCTAGCATGGTCTGCTGCGTTGCTAGCACGGTCTGCTGCGGTGCTAGCACGCTCTGCTGCGTTGCTAGCACGCTCTGCTGCGTTGCTAGCACGCTCTGCTGCGTTGCTAGCACGCTCTGCTGCGTTGCTAGCACGCTCTGCTGCGTTGCTAGCACGCTCTGCTGCGTTGCTAGCACGCTCAGCTGCGTTGCTAGCACGCTCTGCTGCGTTGCTAGCACGCTCTGCTGCGTTGCTAGCACGCTCTGCTGCGTTGCTAGCACGCTCTGCTGCGTTGCTAGCACGCTCTGCTGCGTTGCTAGCACGCTCAGCTGCGTTGCTACCATGCTCTGCTGCGTTGCTAGCACGCTCAGCTGCGTTGCTAGCACGCTCTGCTGCGTTGCTAGCACGCTCTGCTGCGTTGCTAGCACGCCCAGCTGCGTTGCTAGCACGCTCAGCTGCGTTGCTAGCACGCTCAGCTGCGTTGCTAGCACGCTCTGCTGCGTTGCTAGCACGCTCAGCTGCGTTGCTAGCACGCTCTGCTGCGTTGCTAGCACGCTCAGCTGCGTTGCTAGCACGCTCAGCTGCGTTGCTAGCACGCTCAGCTGCGTTGCTAGCACGCCCAGCTGCGTTGCTAGCACGCTCAGCTGCGTTGCTAGCACGCTCAGCTGCGTTGCTAGCACGCTCAGCTGCGTTGCTAGCACCCCCTGCTGCGTTGCTAGCACGCTCTGCTGCGTTGCTAGCACGCTCAGCTGCGTTGCTAGCACGCTCTGCTGCGTTGCTAGCACGCTCTGCTGCGTTGCTAGCACGCTCTGCTGCGTTGCTAGCACGCTCTGCTGCGTTGCTAGCACGCTCAGCTGCGTTGCTAGCACGCTCTGCTGCGTTGCTAGCACGCTCTGCTGCGTTGCTAGCACGCTCTGCTGCGTTGCTAGCACGCTCTGCTGCGTTGCTAGCACGCTCAGCTGCGTTGCTAGCACGCTCAGCTGCGTTGCTAGCACGCTCAGCTGCGTTGCTAGCACGCTCTGCTGCGTTGCTAGCACGCTCTGCTGCGTTGCTAGCACGCTCAGCTGCGTTGCTAGCACGCTCAGCTGCGTTGCTAGCACGCTCAGCTGCGTTGCTAGCACGCTCTGCTGCGTTGCTGCGTTGCTAGCAGGCTCTGCTGCGTTGCTAGCACGCTCTGCTGCGTTGCTAGCACGCTCAGCTGCGTTGCTAGCACGCTCTGCTGCGTTGCTAGCACGCTCTGCTGCGTTGCTAGCACGCTCTGCTGCGTTGCTAGCACGCTCTGCTGCGTTGCTAGCACGCTCAGCTGCGTTGCTAGCACGCTCTGCTGCGTTGCTAGCACGCTCTGCTGCGTTGCTAGCATGGTCTGCTGCGTTGCTAGCACGGTCTGCTGCGGTGCTAGCACGCTCTGCTGCGTTGCTAGCACGCTCTGCTGCGTTGCTAGCACGCTCTGCTGCGTTGCTAGCACGCTCTGCTGCGTTGCTAGCACGCTCTGCTGCGTTGCTAGCACGCTCTGCTGCGTTGCTAGCACGCTCAGCTGCGTTGCTAGCACGCTCTGCTGCGTTGCTAGCACGCTCTGCTGCGTTGCTAGCACGCTCTGCTGCGTTGCTAGCACGCTCTGCTGCGTTGCTAGCACGCTCTGCTGCGTTGCTAGCACGCTCAGCTGCGTTGCTACCATGCTCTGCTGCGTTGCTAGCACGCTCTGCTGCGTTGCTAGCACGCTCTGCTGCGTTGCTAGCACGCTCTGCTGCGTTGCTAGCACGCTCTGCTGCGTTGCTAGCACGCTCTGCTGCGTTGCTAGCACGCTCTGCTGCGATGCTAGCACGCTCTGCTGCGATGCTAGCACGCTCTGCTGCGTTGCTAGCACGCTCAGCTGCGTTGCTAGCACGCTCTGCTGCGTTGCTAGCACGCTCTGCTGCGTTGCTAGCACGCTCTGCTGCGTTGCTAGCACGCTCTGCTGCGTTGCTAGCACGCTCTGCTGCGTTGCTAGCACGCTCTGCTGCGTTGCTAGCACGCTCTGCTGCGTTGCTAGCACGCTCTGCTGCGTTGCTAGCACGCTCTGCTGCGTTGCTAGCACGCTCTGCTGCGTTGCTAGCACGCTCTGCTGCGTTGCTAGCACGCTCTGCTGCGTTGCTAGCACGCTCAGCTGCGTTGCTAGCACGCTCTGCTGCGTTGCTAGCACGCTCTGCTGCGTTGCTAGCACGCCCAGCTGCGTTGCTAGCACGCTCTGCCCACTCATACGCTGCACTGCCCACTCATACGCTGCACTTCCCACTCATACGCTGCACTGCCCACTCATACGCTGCACCGCAAGCGCATACACTGCAAGCACATGCATTGCAAGCACATGCAATGCAAGCACATGCACTGCAAGCACATGCACTGCAAGTGCATACACTGCAAGTGCATATACTGCAAGTGCATACACTGCAAGCACATGCATTGCAAGCACATGCACTGCAAGCACATGCACTGCAAGCACATGCACTGCAAGCACATACACTGCAAGAGCATACACTCCATTCCAGGTGCAGGCGAGCACATACCTTGAGCTGCGCAGCATCCAGCAGTTCCCCCCCACCCTCCACCTCCCCTCCCTCTCCCCTCCTCCCCGTCTCCCGCCCTCCCTCCTCCCCATCCACGTCCAGCTCGCCTGGCCCCGCATGGGCCTGCAGCGGCACGGAGCGGGCGAGGGTGCCGAGGAGCAGGGAGACCTCCTTCATGGACAGCCAGCACGCCACCATCACCATCTGCTCCACCGGGGCCAGCTGCTGCCCACTGCCATCGCCCACCTCCGCTCCCATTTCATCATCCTCATCAGCACCAGCACCGTAATCACCGATACCACCATCGGCATCACTGCCTTCTGCCTCCCCATCTTCACCTTCTTCCTCCTCTTCCTCGTCACCCTCTCGCCCCTCACTGCACGCCACAGTGGTCCCTCCCCGTGCATCCTTGTCCCTCACGCGCAGTCTGCCCCCCTCCCCCACGTCCACACGCAACCCATCCGCGGCCACCACCCACAGCGCCAGCCCCGTCACCCGCAGCACCAGCGCCAGCACCCTCCGCAGCACCCCCCTCATGCCCGCCGCTACGCCAGCATCACCACCATCACCACCATGAACATCATCATCAGCTGCATGATGCACGGATGGTTCGGTCCAGTCGACCTCTTCAAACGTGTATCGGAGCAGCAGCAGCACGCCGTGCACGAGGCTGTGGCGGCACGCGCCTATCATGTCCCGCTCGCCCTCCTCCACCAATGCTGCTAGCCACTCGCTCAGCGAGTGCAAGTACTCCACCACTGCCCCTTGCCCCCCGCTGCTGCTGCTAGACTCAATAGCACAGCCACCAGAAGCAGCACCAGCAGGAGTAGGGGCAGCAGGAGAAGCAGCAGAAGGAGGAGATGTGACAGTAACAGCAGGAAACACCCTCACTTGCCACCCCAGTCCCACAACATACTTCTTAAACACCAGCTTCAGCACGAGCGCGCCCGCATCGCTCTCCCTGACCCTTGGGCTCATCACGAGCCCACACGCCCACTCCACCACCTCCGCCACCTGCCCTGCGCTCTCCAGCCCCGGCAGCGGAGCAGGGTACTTGAGCAGCACTCCCAGCGCCGCCTCCCTCAGCCGGTCCCAGCTGTCCACTGCTTCCGCCAGCAGCAGGTGCGTGCTGCCGGGGGCCAGCGCACCAGGTGGGTAGGGGGAGAAGGTTGGGAGCTGTGGGGTGGTGTGCAGGGCGGACGCGGGTTGTGTAGAGGCAGTGTGAGGGGGGAGGAAGTCGTGAGGGCTCCACACGTCCATGAGGGCGGAGAGTGTGTCGAGGGCCATGCTCTTGCGCTCGTACGGTGCTGAGGGGTACAGCGATGAGAAGAGCAGCGCCGTCAGCCACTGCATGAACGCCTGCACCTCGCCCACGCTCGCCCCCTCCTCCCTCTCCCCCTCTTCCTCCCCCTCTTCCTCCCCCTCTTCTTCCCCCGCCTCCTGCTCCTCACCTCCTCCCCCAGCATCGCCTCCTTTCCCTGCTTCACCTTCCCCCCGCGTGGCCGTTCTCTGGCGCCGGGTGACAGCAGCAATCCTCTCTTGCCGCTCCACGGCGGCGCGCACGCGGGAGAAGAAGCGGCGCACGATGGAGCACCAGCGCATGCGCAGGTTGGGCGAGGAGCAGCGCAGGTTGAGGGGGAAGGCGAGCCCCAGCAGGTGCAGCTCGGGGCGGGACGGCATGGCCGTGGTGCGGAACGAGATGCACAGCAGCTCTGCCACGTCCACCCGCACCGCCTCGTCAGCGTGCCACGTCGCCCGCTCCAGCATCCACGTCAGCACGGTCTGCGGTCCGCCGGACCAATCCCTCCTCGCCACCTCCTCCCCATCCCTCCTCCCTGTCTCACCATCCCCACTCTCCTCCACCTCCTCCTCATCCCCGTCTCCCACCCTCCGTGCCCTCACGCCCCTGCTAGCACCCACCCCCCTACCAGCGGCCTCCAGGGGCCCATCCAGCACGCCCATGCCACGCCCCATGCGCAGCAGCGCCACCACCGCGCCCACACGCGCGTCCACACTCGCCCCCCACGGGTACTCCCCGTGCGGCCCTCCCCTCGCGTTCGCCAGCTCCGGCCACTGCTCCCACACAGCCATTGCGCTGCTCTCCCTATCCCCAATTCCCGTTCCTCCTTTGCTGCCTCGTGGCAGGGTGGTGAGGAAGGAGAGGAGGGGCGAGAGCGAGGGGGGGTCGAGGGAGAGCAGCACGGGGAGGGCGTACGTGGCCACGTTGGTGCGATGCAGTGATGGGCCCGCCACCAGCCCGCACAGCACTGCCGGCATCCACACCCTCCGCCACGCCACGTCGCCTCCCCCCTCCCCTCCGCCCTCCCGCCCCTCCCGTCCCTCTCCCATGCCTGCTTTGCCCGCTGTGCCTGCTGTGCCGGCCCAACACTCCTCACGGAGGCGGGAGAGGAAGGGGGAGAGGAAGGAGGCGACAGCACAGCACACGCCCTCATCGCCCATGGCTGCCAGAGCGTCGCCCAACACTCCCACTGGGAACCGCACGCCCCCTGCTGCTCCGTCCATACCCGCCGCCGCTCCCTCCCTCTCATCCCCCTCACGCCCCTCACTCGTCTCTCCCGCCTCACCCCCTGAGCGCCCCTCTTTGCTCATGCGCAGCAGCCGGGCAGCGCCCAGGCGCAGGGCAAGGGACGCCAGGGGAACGTACCGCCCCTTCCTGTGCGCCCCCGTTGCCAGCACCTCCCCAGCCAGCTGCTCCGCAAACCGCCGAAACTCGCCGCCCACGCCAGTCGCACCAGCCCCAGAACCAACCTTCTGGTCCGTCGCTTCCCCTGCCACTGCGTCCGAAAGGGTTGCCACTGCTGCCACCCCTCCTGGTGCAGCAACCAGGCTCGCCTCTGCCTCTGCCATCCCATTCGCCTCCTGCTCTCGCCCCTCCTCTGCCCCTCCTCCCTGCTCTTCCTCCATCATCAACCCCAGCCCCTCCACCACATCCTCCTCCTCTTCTTCCACTTCCTCTCTAACCCACTCCTCCCCCTCATCTTTCACACCATCTCCTACCAAACCAGGAGCATCTTTTCCCCTTAAATCCTCTTCCTCCATAACCCCAGCGCCCCCTTTCTCCAGGCACTCCACCACGTCCAGCAGCAGGTCCAGTGCCACGTGGGCCTGCCTGGCCGTCTGAGTCAGCGGGTCCTCCCAGTGGCCCCACACTGCTCCCAGGATCCTATCCACACTGCCACGTGGCATCTCCTCATACGCTGCCACGCCGCCGTCCTGCATCAACCTTTCCACCAATAGGCTAAGAGGAAATCTATCAGCCTCCTGACCTCCTTTCACTGCTGCTGCTGCTGCTGCTGATGATGATGATGATGATGACTCCTCTCCGCCAATCCCTGCCCGCCATGTGGCGCGAATCCGAGCCACCTGGCGGGTGAACAGTTGACGGGAGGCGGCGCAGGTGCCGTCCAGCAGGCTTGTCTTGATCTGGTGGAGGCATATCTGCAGGGCGGTGAGCGCATGGAACTTGGTGTGCGCGTCGGAGGAAGCTTCACAGAAGGAGAGGACGCGAGGCAGCAGCCCATGAAAGAGCAGCGACCAGCAGCGCACCTCCACCGCCTGGGGAGTTGGTGCCTCCCCTGCTGCTGCTGCACCTGCTGCACCTGCTGATGCTGCTTCACTTGCTGCGTCTTGTGCCTCTGCACGCGCTGCTTCATGTGGTTGTGTGCGCACGGGCATGGGCAGCAGCAGGAGGTGAGTGAGGGCTTGTCGGGGAACGGCAGTGAGCATGCCTCGAATGCAGCACAGCTGGCTGAACAGAGGAAACCGCCCCATGTCCACCAACCACGCACGCGCCTGCCCTGCTGCTGCATGCCCCTGCCTCGTTTTAAGCGCATCCACTATGGTCAAAGGGGCGACAAACTCGCCTGCAGCCGCTGCTATGCCTGCTGCTGGCGCTGCAGACTCAGCAGGCGTGGCACTCGCAGCAGTAGCTGTTGATAGCACAGCAGGGGAGGCAGGGGAGGCAAAGAATGAGCGTGCTAGAGCCACCGCCAACCGCCCTTCCTTCCGCTCCTCCTCCTCCTGCTCGCCATTGTCTCCCCCTGCTGCTGCACAAGGGGTCGCCTCTGATTGGACGAGAGGCAGCAGGGCGCAGAGAGCTACAGCTGCAGCTACCGTGGCGTCTCTGGAAAGCACCCCCGTTTGTAGCACTCTCACCACAGCGCTGTGCACTGACAGCAGCTCCTCACACACGCCCTTGCCCTCAACACTACCGTTGCTCTCACTGCTCTCACTGCTCTCACTGCTCTCACTGCTCTCACTGCTCTCACTGCTCTCACTGCTCTCACTGCTCTCACTGCTCTCACTGCTCTCAACGCTCCCATTCCTCTCGCCGCCTTGACTTCTCAGCTCGCCTTGCCCTTGGGTGCTGGAGGGGCGCGAGGCAAACTGGTGGGGGTAGCGCTGCAGCAGGTAGTAGAGCGTGGACAGCGCCTCCTGACACAGCTCCATCGTTGCTGGTACCACGTGCCCCCCCCCTTCCGACGCTGCTCCCGAACCTGCTCTCGAACCTGCTCCCAAACCTGCTTTCGAGACTTCTTCGGCAGCTGTTTGCCCGACTTCAGCCATGCCAGCAGCATCAGGGACCCCCTCATTATCGCCGCATGTGCTGCTCCTGCTCCCCATTAGCAACTTGTCCCCACTGCTGCCACGTGGCTGCATGTGGTCCACCAATGCTGCCACGTCTGCACTCAGCACTTGTGCCAGCTGTCGTGCCACGAGGCGAGCTGAGCTGTCAAATGGAGCCTGGAAGGAAGGGAACGGGGACGACCATGGATGGGGCGGATGGCACGAGTGGCTAGCATACGAGATGGTGTGGCATGGAGGGTGAGGGACGCCGTGGGTTCAAAGCAGGAGAGGGGAGGAGGGGCGGGGGAGAGGATTGAGTAGCACGAGTGAGAGGGGGAGAGGGTGAGGGGCGGCGAGCACAGACCTGGAACTGGGCGGCAGTGATGGAGGCCCCTGCTGCAGCTGCAGCGAACTGCCGCCTCTTGGAGCCACCCACGCCGTACTCGTTACAGCACAACGCAATAACACTCTCCACTATCGCCCTCGCTTTCCTTTCAACACTGCCCCCATCCGCCTCCCAGCGTCCCCTCCTCACTCCTCCGTTTCCAAACCCCCTCTCAGCCTCGCTATCCCCCGCACTAGCACCTCTCTCTTCCCGTTCACCCCTTTGCTTCTTTTTCTTCCCCTCCGTTTTCCCCTTCCGCGCTCCACCTCCTCCGCCTCCGCCCTTCCCCTTGCCCCGCCCCGCTGCGCCATCCCCGCGGAGCGCGAAGATGCGCACGAGCGCGGAGAGCAGCGCGCGGTGCAGCGGGCGGGAGTTCTCGAGGAACAGAATTTCCAGGTACAGGCGCGTGGCTGGGGGGTGGCGGGGAGGGGGGAGAGGAAGTCGGTTGATGAAGCGAGGGAAGGCTTGGGATCAGCTGTAAGGAGGGGATCAAGGAAATTGAGGGGCGCGAAGCGGGTCGGGCGCAGCAGTCGGCTCGCATACGCTCGGGATTTAGCGGGTGAGGCAAAGCAGAACACGGGTTTTAGCGGGGTACAAAGGAGGTTCTAGCAGGAAGCAGACTATCGCTTCCCGCACGAGTCACCTAAAAGCTAGACTCAACCAGTATTCGGAAAATCCGCATGCCAATCGACCTACCGCACCGCACTCCCCACCTGCTCGTCGCACGCTTACCTGCTACGAGCTCCCGCTCCTCTGCTGAGCCGTCACTGCTGGCGGAACCAGTCGCGACGCCACTAATCGAATCGCGCCAGCGAATGAACAAAGCATCTAGCGAATCTGAGAGCTCCTTGATATGCGGAATCTCGGCGAATGTCGATCTGAACCTGGTCAGCTGCAGCAGCGCGCTGCCGAACCGCCTTAGCTCCGCCGATCCCGGTATGGCACTCGGAGGAACTTCCTCTGGATCTCGTCGCAATGCTACCCCGCTGGGATTTCTAAGCGAGTCAGCCTGTAGCGAATACAATCTGTTAAAAAGCTCCGGCTCGTCCGGCACTTCTCCATGCGAAAGAGCTGTGGCTCGCGAAACGTAGGTTTGCGGGAATGCAGTTCCCGCGTCGGACCATCGTTTCCGCTGCTGCTGGCGACGGAACTTAGACGCCATTGCCTACGAGGAACGCGATTCGACGCATGCGATTCTGAACGACTAGAACTGATGGCAGCAGAGTGAATCAACAAGTCCTGGGACTCGGGTTCCTGAATCTGATTATTGATAACTGGGCTGCTCGGACTGATGTGGGTGGGTCGAGTTGAGAATACCGGTAGTACAAACATGTCACAAGTTCGTTATGCTGGACCTATATAACCTCCAATACAAAAAAATCAGTGTCTGATTATTGGGGGGGCCCGATTACGGAAGCGGCTTCGCGAGTTGCAGGCGCCATTGCCGTGGCTCCCCCTGCTCGACCACCCCCAGATGGCCTCGCATCTCCTCGCTATTGCAGTTTCAGCACGGCCGATGTACCTGGCCCGGACTATGCCGCCGCGGCCGGAGGTGGTGGAGGCCTTTAGAGAGTGGGACAGCTGTCTGGAGGATTGCTTTGAGCAGCTTTTCCCCCCTGGCACTTGGGAGCAGGATCCCGGCAGGTCTAGGCGCGCACGCATGCAGCTGCATCTCCCTGTGCGCCTCGGAGGGTTTGGGATCCGGGCGGCGGCCTCTTTGAGTCCGCTCTCCTATGTTTGTGGGTGGGCGCAGGCCGCACGGGATATTGCACATTTGGGGGTGGCGGGCGAGGAGGCGATGTTCGCAGAGTACCTCACCACTTCGGCGGGGGCGGAGCTTCTTGACCCGTGGTTTGCCAAGGCCATTGAGCAGTTGCCCGCGACTATACGCCAGGAGCTGCCGGACTTACCCCTGTGTGTGGCGGCCCCTCCTCTTCGGCTTTTCCAGGCGCGGCAGCGGCAGTTGGCTGTTGAGGAGCTCCAGGCACTCCGCCGCTTGGCTCGTGACGATGCCACCCTAGCCCGTTTCACATCCCTTCAGGGCCCGGGGGCTGGTGCATGGGTTTCGGCAGTTCCGGCTCATTCAGATCTCACATTCACTGCAGCGGAGTGGGGCATTGCTGCTGCTATACGGCTTGGTCTCCCAATCCAGCAGCTGCAAGTGGCGGGGAAGTGTGTTTGTGGCGCAGCGTATGATGACCCAGCAGACCCGCATCATGCGCTGAGATGCAAGCACCAACACGGTCCATCTCGGGTGCATGATGAGGTGAAGTTTGCGGTGGCAAAGATCGCTAAGGCGTCAGGGGGGGTGGTGACGATGGAGGATAGTGCGGTGCTGCCGGGGAAGCGGGTTGACGTAGCGGTGCGACGACCAATGGCTGGGGAGGCTCATGCTTTAGAGATTAGTGTCGCGGACCCGCTATCACTGTCTCCATCTCTGCTAGGGCAGTGCGGGCGGTCTATAGGCGTGGCGGCAAAGGAGTGGGAGCGTCGCAAAACGGGGGATTACGCGCCTCTTCTTGCACGGAACCGAGGCGTGCAGTTCACCCCTTTGATAGTGGAGACGTGGGGGTGTCTCGGCGGTCGCTTCCGGCGGTGGCTTCGACAGCAGGGGGACGCGCACGTGGGGCTAGCTGTGTCACGGGGGGCTTGTCGGGAGGATGACACTTCGTTCTCGGCTTACCTTTTGGGGTCTCTGAAGGCGCTCATCGGAGTGGCGTTACAACGGGCGCAAGCTCGTGTCATCCTGCTTCGGGCGGCGTCTTCCATGGGGGGGTTGAATGTGGACTTGGTGGATCGGGAGAGGGACGATGTCGAGGTGGAGGGCGGGCCTCTTTGGGTGGAGGCCCCCTACATGGTGGATGTGCAGATGTGACTTGGGGGGGAGGGGGGGGGGGGGGGGGGGGGGGGAGGCGAGGGGGAATGGGGTGCGAGATGGGACGTCTGGTAGGGGATCCTGGTTGGGTTTTTTCTTTATAGAGTATTTTTATGGGGCTTTTTATGGGTGTTGCGTTTGAGTTGTTTCTGGTGTCTTTCTTTCCCGTTCCTCTCCTCTTGTGCGATGCTTTTCTTTGTAAAGATTATGAATCGTCTATACTTGTGTCACATTGTGTTGTTGAAACCCTAAACACTTTTGTTTTTTTTTGTTTTGTTAAAAAAAAAAAAAAATCAGTGTCACAGATACGCTCTCAACTGGGTCCCCACCTTCCCCGCCCCCACCCCCAATGTTAAAGCATGAGAAAGTGGTGCTGTATCACACATAAATTATTTCCCCAGAAAAATAAGAAAAAAAAAACCACTAAATGTCAGAAAGGTGGCGAGCCCTCACCACTACCCCTTGGCACCAGATGGGCTACCCCTGATTGGGCTTTCATACCCCTTGATGTTCTTCTTGGCATCTGCATGTGAGGCCACAAATTGCCGGCCACCAAGATCGCATGCCGTGATACCCTTCTGCAAAGGACCCTTGTGGTACACAATGTTCTTGATATTCGTCTCTGCTTCCTTCTCCTGGAAAAACTTCTTCGACTGCAGCAGCAGCATGACGAATCACAAGGGAAGAGGATGGAAAAAAAGCTGAGCGCTGAGCAGCCTTTTGGTGTTGGCTCAAAACTCCAGAAGCAAACAAAACAAGCACAGAGCAGAAACAATAATCCATCACATCAAGGAGTAATGAATCCTGTGAGTCCTGGCCTCAGTATCTAAATTGCATCAAAATGAATGATGGGAGGAGGGACTACAGGCAAGTTAAACAGCATCACAACGTGCCCTGATGTGCCGTACCATGGACTTGTAGCTGTCGGAGTTGCCAGCCTGCACGCCCATGCGGATGTTGCCCATGTCGTAGTTGGCGCCGCCTGCCATCTTGAGCGTGTCGTCAATATCCTTCTCCAGCCCCGCCAGGGCCTCCCTCTCGTACAACTGCTTCTCAATGTGGAAACCCTGACCGTAGGGGAGATAGCGCGGGAAGAGGGGTTGCCAGTGAGTGGTAATGAGTTGCGAGTGGGGAGAAAACGGGAGGTAATTTGATGGAGAAACTGCAACTCTCTAATAAGCATTCGCAATTTCTGACGTTGTAATTCCCCCGAGGCTTTTCTGCGCTGAATCGTAGAATGGTTCACATTTTTTTCCTCTAGGTTTCAAAAGGGAGTGTCGAACGGCACAGGTAAACAGCGACTGTCAGATGGCATGTGTCAGCGTGTGTCAGAGGACATGTGTAGTGTGATCACGGGCATGTGTCAGTAGCGTGTGTCAGTAATGTATGTTAGAACCATGTGTGTGAAGACGGCTGCGATGGCAGCATGAGCGCGCATACACTGTAACCTCGCACAGCTCTCAATTGAGACCTGGTCAAACGGCTGTACACCGTTCGCACTGTGCTTACATTATCATCCATATTGTTTTCTCCAACAGCTTTGGAACATCCATCCCTTGTCGTGCGAATTACCCGTGCAGCGCACCTTAAATAGAGTCGCGCAGTCCTTCTTGTGGAGAGCGACCTTCCCCTTCTTGAGCGGCGACGCGCTCTCGCCGACCCACGTGATGAAGACAAACTTCACGCGCTTCGAGTCGCCGCCGTCGTCCATCTTGACCAATCGTAGTAAACCGTACAGAATGTTGTTGTCCTCGCACTGCGGATGTACAGTGCGCGCCGATCAAGGGAGTGAAAAAACGTGCCGAATACAAGAGCAATAAGTTTACCAAATAGGTTCTTCAGCCCCGATTGGGCTAAGACCGTACTCTAATGACGATGGCTAGGCCGCCGGATGCCAAAGACGGCCATGTATGGAAAGCAATCAGGTGAGAGAGACAATGCAGGAAGCTAGTTACGAGAAATCATTCGACGAAATCAGAGATGGAGTTCTCTAGGGAAGTCGACAGAAATTTCACCTTTTTAACCATGTCGTTGACGTCGCCAGTGCCAGTCCCCATCGGGACGAGGGAGTTGCCCTCGTAGCCTAGCCAGCACCATGTTTCAGGCGTGTCGTCTGAAAACACGGCGAGATAGGCCTCCGAGCATCCCGGCTTGAACAACGACGCCATCAACCGAAGGAGGTCAGCAGATGAGGGCGAACGCGACTGGCAAGCACGGAGAACGCAATGCCGAAGAACGCTATGCAATTGATCCAACTAATTAGTGCACGGTCGCGGGTGAACGATCAGGAAGTTGCGGGAAGTGGCCTCAACAGAACGAGCTAGTGGGGAGTGAAAGGGATGTGGATTCAGTGAGGAGTTTGTGGGTAGGAGAATGAATCAGCGCCATCGCTGGCGGAGCTTCTCATACCACAAACTGGACCGCCCGGGGAAGAGGATGACAAATTCCGGGTTGCGCGGAGCGGAAATGAGAGGGGCGGAAATCTCGAGAGCGCCCACACGCAGCCGTGGGGGAGGTGCGGCCAGCCTGTGATTGGATGGCGCGATTGGAGAGGCGCAGAAGGTCCCCGAGAATGGGCCTGGTTGTTGGGGCTAGAGAGGTGGTTGGGCAAAGGTTGGAGTGGCTCTTGGCGAGGACAGAATGAGTCTTACAACGAATTTCTCAACCTCACACAACGTTACAGCACTGGCGTTACCGCTATATCAGACGTTCATCAAACGCAGAGCGAGAAAAGTGTAAATATCGTGAAGTTACTGATGCCAGCTAGCTTTTATTCCTCAGAAGGCTGCTTGGTGGCGTATTTAAAACCATTTTCTCTTGATCGGTAGCCCCATTGGCAATCAGGATAGCACGCATAGGGCATTAACATAGTCATTTATACATTAACTCGTGCAACCTGCGCACTGTCCCAGGGCCTCAATACTAAGGTGACAGAATCAGGCACACGACCAATGTTTCTTTAGCATCATTGGCAGGGAACAGCAGGAGCATCTCCCTCTCCAGCAACCAACTGCGACTGACACCGCTGTGTTTGTTGTTGCTCTCTCTTCTCCTGCTCCTTGTTAGCAGCCCACATTGCATATAGATAGCGACCTGACCCCATGTCGACGATTGACATGAGCACGGCCCAAATGTGCGCCCAGATGGTCTTGCTCTGATGACGGGGTGTCAAGGAAGGGTGCACAGTCGATATAATTGATAAGCAAAGGTGTCCTCGCTGAGAGAACTTTGAACGGAGAAAATTAGGGTTGAGCATTAAGAGCCCAACGCCTTCACTTCAATGAAGGGTGTAGCTCGCTTCAGGCAACGAAAGAAACGGCAGGTGGTGTCTGGAGCAAACACGCCATTCCGGACGGAGATTAAGTCGCTCACCTTCTTGCTTTTACCCCGGCCCGACCGGACAAGAGGCTCCGACATCATCGCCGCATCCGACTCCGAGCTTCCGTCACCGTACGCGAAACAGCTCTCAGACGTCTCGGAAGAGCGAAGGCTGTCGACGTCATCGACGCTCTTCCATGACCGCCACGTCATGTAACCCGCGATGAACGCTGAGACAACCACGAGCACGACCCTCATCGGACACACCATCGTGACAGTCTGTGCTCCTGGTGTTACGCTCAGATGATTCTGTACCGCTAGAGAGCGTGCCCTGAGCTAAGACCGAGGGGAAGGCGAAGAACAGCTTTTAGGTGGTGGTTTGTGAGCTGAAGAAAAGAGTTTCAACAATGGAGCGGAGCGTGCTGGAGCAGCCTTCGCTCTGGCCGCGTCCTAGAAACGAAAACAAATTGCCGTCTTGTCAGAGTGCGTTGTACTTAGGAGGACGTGACCAACCAATAGTGTACTAGCTTTCAGAGCAGTCGTCAATATTCCTTCTCAGCAATTGGCAAAAAATACAGGCGGTGTTGCAAGACGGGTGCTACGCAGAGCGGGTTGGGGTGAACCAGATTGAGGAAGGAAAGGATTGGCTTTCTCGGTTGACGGTAACTTCGAAGGAGTGCGACGAGCAGCGAAAGGTCGCCAGGGCATCGCACGAATCGAATGAGACGAAGGTTCTGCTGAGGATGAGCGCACTGACGGTGCCGCGCAAGCACAGAGAAGTCGGGAGTCGCGCGGTGCGGCAGTGTGCGACGTGGACTACCAGTAACGAAGGGGGTTTTGGCACACCAGCTTGGGCCAGAAGCGGGCTCCTGCTCATGGAAAATCGACGACTGTAATTGGGCAAGTTCAGCAGAGATAAACTGCCCGTATTGAAAGTTCCTGACGAGCCCGTATGTGTGGCATCGGTGAGCTGTAGAGCTTGACATGGGTCATCGAGATTCGTGATTCGTGATTCCAGACCATTTTCCACACCGACATGGTGTGCTGTGCACACACAAAAGGCGCGTGGTCGGTACTTCCAAGATGAGGTGACGTGGCAGCCGACTTATGGCGGGTACAATACTACACTGTCGGGATTGACCGACGACCTTTCATCCCAGTATCAACATCGCTGTTTGCCTTCACAACTTATGGCAGCACTACCTTTCCTATTCTGGCATATCACTGTAGCCAGCTTCGCAATTCAATAAAGGAACAGTGCTGTACAGGACAAATTTTTCAGCTACATAGGTAACAATCTACATAGTGGGCTACAGTAACTTAGGGAAGAACAGTGGTGGTAAACCACACTGCCTTCACAACCTCATCTCCAGCCCCCACGCAGAGCCACCAAGTGGTATACCACCACCACCACTGCTCCAACCACCACCACTCGTCACCGCACACCACCAACCAACACCTCCACCACCACTTCTTTTCTCACCACCAGCACCTCCATCTAGGAGGCCAAGTGACTCTCCCCCACTGCCAGCCAGCAGTGCCACTGCATGGCATGGCATGGCATGCCACCACCACCACTCCTCAGAGAGGAGGGCAGTGAGGCAAGGCAGAGTGCTAGTGGAGGGGGGCTGAGCCCCCTGGGTAAGGCGAGAGCACGGCAAAGAGAAAGAGGTTGAGCCTCCCAGAGCATGGCTTGTGAGAGGCAAGAGAAGAGGACTGGAAACACCAGACCAAGGCAAGCTAAGGACAGAGGAGGGGGTTTCCTCTGCCCCTTGCTTGCTTCAGCCTGGGGATTCCAATCCCCCTCCCCCCCCTTGCCCTCACAAGCCTTGCCCTGAAAGGCCAACCTCCTTCCCCCGCCTTGCTCTCCCCACCACTCCCCACAGCCACTCGCCAGCAGCACCACAGCAGCAGCAGCAGTGAGGCTATGAGGCAGCCCAAGACCTGAACCCTCACCGACGTAGCAAGAGGGGAGCCCCACCAGACCCCCGGCCGCAAGGTCTGGTGTTCGTCCATTATGCCTTAACGTGCGGCTATTGGAATCCAGGCTTGGGACTGACTCACACCCCAACTGCCACCCCACCTCCACCACCACCCACCACCACCACCACCACCACCACCACCACCACCACCACCACCACCACCGCCACCACCACCACCACCACCACCACCACCACCACCACCACCACCACCAACACCAACACCAACACCAACACCGCCACCACCACCAAAGGGTACCTGTCAGGGGGGAGGGGAGAGAAACAAAGTTAGTTCAGAAATAGAAGCACTGGAGCAGCAAAGGAGGGCAAGAAGCATGAAGCAGAATGAAGCAGAATGAGAAGGCACGTGAAACTGAATTGAGAAAGCAAGTGCAAAGCGAGAGGCAAATGCAACGGCATCCAAGGGTGAGGTGGGAGGTTGCTGTCTTACCTTCCACAGAGCAGCAAGTCCCTCAATCCGCCAGTGGCAGTGACAGTCCGCGCAGCAGCAGCAGGAGCGTGGAGTGGAGCAGACCATCACCAGCAACACCGTCAGCAGCAGCACAGACGGCAGCGTCACCTCCCCCTCCAGCAGGAGCAACCCTGGTTGAACTCATCTCACACCGGCTTCCTCTTCCAGCGGCACAACCTGTCAGGAGGAGGGAAGAGCAAATAAGTTAGTTCACCCCATGGTAGAAGCACTGGAGCAGCAAAGGAGTGCGGAGGACTGAAAAAGAAAGGAGAAAGCAAGTGAAAGGCGAGAGGCAGACAAAACGCTCATGTGAGGGTGAGGTAGGAGGCTTGGTGGCTTACCTGACACACTGCAGCCCCTCAGTCCGCCAGTGGGAGTGACAGTCCGCGCAGCAGCTTGGAGCTGAGTGGAGGGCCACGCAGAGGTCCGCCAGTCATGGTGACAGTCCGTGCAGCAGCAGCAGCGTGGAGTGGAGAGCAGAGGACAGAAAAGGTACCTGCTGGGGGAGGAAGGCAGGGGTGAAAAGCACAAGTGAGTGGAGGCAATGAAGGCACATTCAGAGAGAGCGACATGCCAAAACAAGCACACATGCGTGCGGGAACGAGCTCTGCTGCTGCGCACACCCATGGGGATACCTTTCTGTGGCGGTTATACCCTAAACCTTGCAGTCTGAACCTGTTACCTGGGGAGCCCTAGGGCGTGCTGCAGGCAGCTAGAGCGGTGCGAGGTGCATGAAAGTGAGACATTGCAGAAGCAGGAAAAGGCGGAGGCAGAGAGCGAGGGAGCGGATGTACTCGTCTTGTGTCTTGCGAGGAGCGAATGGCAGGCGGTCGGTGCAGGCAAGGAAGAGCGCCCTGCTGCCCGCCAGCTCGCTGCATGCGCGTCCAGAGCAACCTGCCAAGGGGGACGGGGGGAGGGGGGGTTGGGAGGGCGGGGGGTCGGAGTGGGAGTGGGGTGAGTAAGTGGGACGGCATGAGAAACATGGGAGCGGGTTGATGTGCGCGGCATGAGTGGAAGCGGAAGGAGAACTGCTGTCGCACACCCGAGGGGGTACCTTCAGTAAAAAAAATTACCAACAGTGGGGGGAATACCTGACCTATCAGTGTGTACCTGAGACCTGGGGGAACCCTTGAGTGTGGTGCGAGCAGGTGGGATGACATGAGGAATGCGTGGGGGGGATAATGATGGATGATGAAAAGATAAAAGGCAGAGCAGGTTGAGGAGAGGGGTGCTGATACTCATCTGTGTCTGACGCTCGTAAAGGCAGTAGGGGCGTTGCCGAAGGCACCAGGACGTCCGCGAAGGCAGCAATGTCATCCGCGAAGGCAGCAGGGATGTTCGCGAAGGCAGCAGGGAGGTCCGCGAAGGCAGCAGCATCGTCCGCGCAAGCAGGAGGGAGGTCCGCGCAAGCAGGAGGGAGGTCCGCGCAGGCATCGAAACTGGAGGGAGGATGGGGGGAAAGGGGTTGAGTTAGCGCCATTGGAGGGGGAGAAGCAAGAAAAGAAAAATGATCCAAGCAGGAAGCGTGAGACAAGCATGCACGAGTGGTCATGACACGAAAGCAGCGCCGGCAGCAGCACACCCAAGGGGGGAACCTTAGTTTGAACCTTACCAGCGTGTAAGCACACCTGGGCTAAAACATTTTGCACCTGCGAAGGGGGTACCTGATCTTACCAGTCCGAACCTGATACCTGATACCTGATACCACGGGGTTGGGTGTGCGGCTGAGCAGGCGAGCAGCAGACATGCAAGCGAAGACGGCAAAGAACATGCATGCAAAATGAGCGCGTGAGGAGCAGAGAGCAGAGGCGGGTGCTTATCTTTCGAAGGCGCTCGTTGACTGAAGCAGAACGGCGTTGACTGAAGGAGAACGGCGTTGACTGAAGCGAAACTGCGTTGACTGAAGCGGAACGGCGTTGACTGAAGCATGACGGCGTTGACAGAAGCGGAACGGCGTTGACCCGAGCAGCACCAGGGACGTTCAATGGACGCCACGCGGCTCTGCAAAGGAACGGGGGAGGGAGGCGCGAGGGAAGGGAGTGAGTCCAAGGGACCAGACGAGCGACGACGAGAATAAAAGAAGCGCGCGAATGAAACGAACAACGAAGGCTTGGCTGCTGTAGCACACCCTAGGCGGGGGGATACCTTAGGCTTAAAATTTTTGCACCTGTAGTGGGGGACAGTGGGAACTATACCTTAAGAGTCTGAACCTGAGACCTGGGGGGAGCTAGGGTGTGCTACAAACAGCAGCAGCGACGTGGAAAACGGAGGAACCTTAGTGCGAAGTGATACTCATGGTAAAACGCGGTCGGAGCAGCTCGGTCGTAGGCGCGCCTTCACGGACGCGCGATCATCGAATCGCCGACTGACGCGCCAGCACGCGCCGTTGACTGGAAGCAGCGCGGCACTGCCAAGGAACGGGGGAGGGAGGTGCGAGGGAAGGCAGTGAGTGCAAGGGATGAGCGACAATAAGAAAAAAACGATAAAGCGAATAAAAGCGCGAAGTGAACGAAGCACCAATGTCGAACGCATCACTGCTGTAGCGCACCCTAGCCGGCTTACCATACCAAGGGTTACCATACCAAGGGTTACCGTACCAAGGGTTACCATACCTTAGGCTTACCATACCAAGGGTTACCATACATTAGGCTTACCATACCTTAAAGGGGGGGGGGGGGGTGGGGGAGGTGCTAGGGTGTGCAGGCAGCTGCAACGGCGTGAGATGCAAGGCGGAAGGACATTGGTAGGGAGGGATACTTATCGTTAACGCGAAGTTTGGAGCAGAGCGGCCGTTGACGAGCCTTCACGGATGCGCCTTCACGAAGCACCGAGGCGTGGACTGACGCATCAGCGCGGACGTTGACTGAACCGGAACGTCACATCCGCGTTGACCACCGAGTTGGCTGCAATGGAAAAAAGCAAAAGATCCGGAGAGAAATAATGATTAGTTCGATGCCAGCAGTTAAAAAACGACGAGCGAAGAAAGAGAGGACACATTAAGCCGAGCTACGGCGTAACCTCACCTTTCCGGATGTAGGAGGTGAGGCGATGTTACTCGGTCTCCATGTCAATATGTCAAGTCGCGATCTGACGGAGAGTCGCGATCTTCGACGGAGAGTGGCGACCTTCAACGAAATTTCATCCGAGAAACGCGATTCCGAAGTAGAAATGTCGCAAGTCTGCACGACATAAACCAGAACGAGATTAGTAATCAAATCATTTGAATAAAGTAAAGAAAACGAACCGGAAACACGGAGACGTACATGAGAAGATAGAGAATCGCGGACGCAGCGAGAAGCGGTGGACGTGAAGCTCGCGCAGCGTCGCATTGCTCGACGTTTTGGGTAGTGGAGATTGTAAGACGCCGTGAAGGAGAAGCTTGTGCAGCGAAAGTGCAGCGTCGCACTGCTAGACGGCTCCAGGCCGTGAGAGCGGACAGAGAGGGCAGATAGCGTCGTGGTTGTCGCAGCATAGATCGCAGTTGAAGTTAAATGGAAGGCAAAACTGGAAATGCAGACTGCACAAGAGTATTCATAGGCGATGCGGTGAGAGCGATGTGGCGTGAGCGAGGCAAATCGAGGCGAGTTCGAGGCGACAAGAGTGGAAAATGAGAGAGAGCGCTGAAGGATGATGTGAGAGTGGAGGCGCGTTTGGCTGAAAACGAGGAGTGTGGGGTGAGGTGAGCAAGCTCATAGTGGGCTGTCGAAGGCAGCGGCGTTGGCGGGAGCAAGCAGAACTACGGACGGTGCAAGGGTTTGATTGGGGAGGAGCTATGGTTTCTGCAGCGCCATGCACTCGTACCTGGCCCTAGAACTCTCCCCTCCAACCAAACCAAATCTCAAGGCCGCTTGCCAACCCACCAGCTTGGGGAAGCTTGGGGAGGATGAAAACTTTCCAAGGGGTGTGCCTTGGGAGATACATTTTGAGTTCTTTTCCTGAGTTTAGCATATTTGGGGTTCGATATTCTGTTTGTTACGTAAGTTCCCTGGTCCAATGCATAGTATGCGCTGTGAATACAACTTTTGCTTTCCTGTCGAAAGTGCATGAATTGCGGGCAGCAGAGGAGAACTCGTCTGAGGGCAGTGTTTCGCATTGGCTTCGCTGCTGGTGTCAAAACCCTTCCGGCCTCGCGATTTGTCGCTCGTGACGTTTGCATGTAACTTCTTCTAGACTGCCTTCGACTGCCTGGGCAGATTTCACCGACTACATTTTCTGCTACAGTTGTACACTGCAGCAGCTTAGAATACACTGTATTGTATTGCATTCGGGCTTACACTGTTCGGTCAGCCAACCTCAACTCCACCAGCGAAACTTTGCGAAGATATCTCCCCGTTCTCCCCCGTGGTTATGGCAATGGGAAGTGACACGCATACCGAAGCGCACAACCACTTTCCACGGCTGGTTTCGTGCGCAAGAGGAGGGAGCGGCGGGGGGAAGCCGTTGGACAAGCAGCCTGGGGTTGGTTGGGCTTGCCTGATCTGATTTGCCCAGAAGAGAGGCTAGCAGGCGAGCGCAGCGTTTGGGTCAGCGTGACCTGCGTCCACCACCCGCGCAACTCCACTCTCCGCTCCGCCCCTACCCACTCACCTCGGTCAGTCGCCCAAACCACACATCCCTTGCAACGCAATGTTCAATCCTGCGCTTTCTTCTCACACAATGCAATGTTGCTTTGTCACTCACAACCTGCTCCACAACGAGCCGCATTTTTTGTCGTCATTGACTCAGAGTCTTCAATCAGTCTCTTTTCTTTATGCATTCAGGCAGCAATTCTAATCGCGAGCGAGTTGACAACGGTTACGAGCCACTGTCGTTGCTGGCGATTGTTTCTTGCTGCGACTTTTTCTGGGCACGATGTTGAAGAACAAGACTCTCGCTTGACGACGTCGTTTTCGCAGGCGATTGTGCTTCTTCCTGCAAGTTCTTCCTCCAGCGCCATGTCGAGTGTGCTTGATCCTACTCGCGAGCGACGATAGTTGACGCGTCTCGTTACGATTCTTCTTGTCGGGCGAGTGTTTTTAACGGCGGCTCCGGTTCTTCACTCGTCTGGCGAATCCATTCCGTCTAATAGCTCATATTGCGGTAGACGATATGTAACGCTGGTCGAAGTTCTCCTCGCCGGCGATGTTGCGCGACAATCTCCTCGATCCTCTTCATTCTTCTCGCTAGGAACGATATTCGACGCTGGCGACGAAACTTCTCACTGGCGACAATTCGTCTCTTTTGCGCCGGCTATCTAGCGTCTTGCGGGGGACGATTATCGCTGGCGACGGTTCGTCTGTCTCGTGACGAGTCGTCTCGTCGCAAACGACTCTTCACGCTGGCGACAAAGTCTTGCGAGGCAGCGATTTCAATCGCCAACGTGCAGTGATGCCAACGCCGACGAGGTTAGTCCGTGCATTTCCCTTGAATTGTCCATCGCTCCACGAGTCGTTCGCGCGTCGTTTCGCGCATCGTTTCGCGCGTCGTTTCGCACGTCGTTTCGCGCAGATTAGCGTATTCATAGTCGCCGTCGCCGATTCCCGTCTTCTCAGCTTCCGACTTGGTCGCGTGTTCTCCGTGGCATGGCAGGCGCGTTCGGCGATGCGCGTTCGTCGCGAGCGGGCGTGCATAGGGGCTCGCGAGCGAGCGAGCCGTTCATTGCGGCGATTCCAATCGGCGACGCGTTCATTTCAGTGCTGCTCGCGAGCGAGCGAGCGAGCAAGCAAGCGCTGCGCGCGCTGCTGCGGGGAGCTGCGCGACTGCGTGAGCGCATGCGCGCAACGTATGGCGCGCGCCGCTGGGGGAGACGGGTTGACCTCGTAGCGCCGTGCTGCATGCTCCACGTCGCACCCTGGCTCGCGCTCTCGTCACGGCGTGCTCGTCAGGTCAGAATTGCTCCCCTCCGCTGATTGATTGGCTTCCGCTAACCCAACTGCAATCCGTTGCCTCATGCTTATTTGGGAAATCCATTGTCCATTGTCCCATCTTGATCCTCCTCGCGCTCCTCGCTCGCGCTTTCTCACAATTCCGTGTCCTTTCTCACTCGCATACACTCCCCTCTCCCTGCCTCACCACCTCACCGCCCTCCTCCCTTTGTACCCCCCTTCTCCACCCCCCCGCCTCTTATCCCTCTCTGGGCAGGTCACTGCAGCAACTGCACGCAGCAGGCAGCAGGGAGCAGGCAGCAGGCAACAGGCAGTACGCAGAAGGCAGCAGGGAGCAGGCAGCAGGGAGCAGGGAGCGGGCAGCAGGGAGCGGGCAGCAGTGAAGCGTTGACTATCTCCGCCTTCAAGCTAAGTGCCTTGTACTCGCTGTTCATGGTTTGCACTGTTGCACTGTTTGCGTGTCGCATCTCCATCCAAATCGGGCCATTTGTGAGGGCACAACACGCGAGTCATAGACCATTCCTTCCTCAGGTTCAGGTTCAGGTTCAGGTTCAGGTTCAGGTTCAGGTTCAGCCCCCCTAAGGTCATACAGTTGCTCGGGTTCCCTTTGGTCTGTGACTTGTGGTTTTGCCTCCACCAATGGACCCTCCTTCCCGTCCCTTGTTGTTATTTGTGCTCTGCTGTTACATCCACTGTTCTTGTGGCCTGTTGCCATCGCACTCTACGCACTCCCTTCCCCCATCATCCCACATCAGCGCATCTCTCTCTGTGTCTCATCTCATTCCTCCCTGTCTTGCCCTCCCTGCCCGCCCTGCCCTCCCTGCCCTGCCAGGTCTGCACAAGCCAAGGGGAGAGCAGCGGGCGAGCAGCAATCAACGGGGAGGGCCAAGGCGGGCAGCGGGGCAGCAGCGCCGGCCTCATCAACGGTTGAGGTTGCAGTATCGCCCCTGCCACCACACCCCACTCGAGCCCACTCCCCCTCAGGTTCAGGTTCAGGTGCAGGTGCAGGTTCAGGTTGGTAGCGGCTCTTGTGGGGTTGTGGTTGGCGTCACATGCACTGTCGTTTCTGCTGTTGCACGTGTGTTTGGCTGTTTTCTCCATTGCAACCCCTCTTACTTTCGGCTGCCTTTCTTTTCTGCCCTGCCCTCCCTCCCCTCCCTTCCCTGCCAGGCCTTCACAAGCCAGGGTGACAGCAGCAGGCGAGCAGCAGGCGAGGGGAGCACCAGGGTTGGCAGCAGGAGCGCGGGCAGCGGGGCAGCAGCGCCGGCCTCATCAACGGTTGAGGTTGCAGTATCGCCCCTGCCACCACACTCCACTCGAGCCCACTCCCCCTCAGGTTCAGGTTCAGGTTCAGGTGCAGGTTCAGGTTGGTAGCGGCTCTTGTGGGGTTGTGGTTGGCGTCACATGCACCGTCACTTCGCACTCACACTGCTGCCTGTCTTCTCGTTTGAAAGAGTCACTCCCTCCCACCTGCCTCTTACTATCTCTCTATCTCTCTCTCCCTTCTCCTCTTCCTCGCAGGTCTGTCCCTTCAAGCCCCGCTCGCCCTGCTCGCTCGTCCTTCTGCCTGCACCACACAATCAGCTAAGTACCCGTTCCCCCATGCCCGCACCCTTGCCTGCCATACTGTTTCTAGTGTTTCATCTGCGGTTGCACCGTCTTCTTGAAACAATGCCCTTGGTTGAGCGCGGTTCACATGCCACAGACCCCCACTCTCAAGGTGCAGGTAACCCTCTCAGGTGCAGGTAACCCTCTCAGGTGCAGGTAACCCTCTCAGGTGCAGGTAACCCTCTCAGGTGCAGGTAACCCTCTCAGGTGCAGGTAACCCTCTCAGGTGCAGGTAACCCTCTCAGGTGCAGGTAACCCTCTCAGGTGCAGGTAACCCTCTCAGGTGCAGGTAACCCTCTCAGGTGCAGGTAACCCTCTCAGGTGCAGGTAACCCTCTCAGGTGCAGGTAACCCTCTCAGGTGCAGGTAACCCTCTCAGGTGCAGGTAACCCTCTCAGGTGCAGGTAACCCTCTCAGGTGCAGGTAACCCTCTCAGGTGCAGGTAACCCTCTCAGGTGCAGGTAACCCTCTCAGGTGCAGGTAACCCTCTCAGGTGCAGGTAACCCCTTCAGGTGCAGGTACACCCCTCAGGTTCGGGCAGGTAACCCCCTCAGGTGCAGGTAACCCTCTCAGGTGCAGGTAACCCTCTCAGGTGCAGGTAACCCTCTCAGGTGCAGGTAACCCTCTCAGGTGCAGGTAACCCCTTCAGGTGCAGGTAACCCTCTCAGGTGCAGGTAACCCCTTCAGGTGCAGGTAACCCTCTCAGGTGCAGGTAACCCTCTCAGGTGCAGGTAACCCTCTCAGGTGCAGGTAACCCTCTCAGGTGCAGGTAACCCTCTCAGGTGCAGGTAACCCTCTCAGGTGCAGGTAACCCTCTCAGGTGCAGGTAACCCTCTCAGGTGCAGGTAACCCTCTCAGGTGCAGGTAACCCTCTCAGGTGCAGGTAACCCTCTCAGGTGCAGGTAACCCTCTCAGGTGCAGGTAACCCCTTCAGGTGCAGGTAACCCTCTCAGGTGCAGGTAACCCCTTCAGGTGCAGGTAACCCTCTCAGGTGCAGGTAACCCTCTCAGGTGCAGGTAACCCTCTCAGGTGCAGGTAACCCTCTCAGGTGCAGGTAACCCTCTCAGGTGCAGGTAACCCTCTCAGGTGCAGGTAACCCTCTCAGGTGCAGGTAACCCTCTCAGGTGCAGGTAACCCTCTCAGGTGCAGGTAACCCTCTCAGGTGCAGGTAACCCTCTCAGGTGCAGGTAACCCATTCAACTTGCTTCCACCACCGCGCTCTGACTAGCTCTGTGTGTGCGCGTTGCAGGTGGCGGGGAGGGGTGTGGGGTCAACACCGACGCTCCCTCACGCCCCTCCCCTGTGGCCGTGCAGGGAGGAGGCACCTGGAGGAGGGCTGCTGCGGAGGGAGGCAGCTGGTGGTGCTGCAGCTGCCTTGACCTCGCCCTCACGCTATCAGCTAAGTCACCCACTTCCATGCCCTCACCCTTGCCCGCCACATCATGGCTTGTTGCTTTCTTGCTGCCATTTCGTTTGCCGGTTGTGCTTTCGCCCTTCCCTTTGCCCTTGGTTGAGCGCGGTTCACATGCCACAGACCCCCACTCTTCAGGTAACCCCCTTCAGGTGCAGGTATCCCTCTCAGGTGCAGGTCCCCTCTTCAGGTGCAGGTTCCCTTGGCGTCTGTGGCGTGTGGCCTTGCCTCAACCAGTGGCCCTCCCTTTCTCTTCCAGTTTTGGCAGTTTCCGGTCTCCGGCTTGTGTTGTGCCCATGCCTTGCATACTGACCATCGCCGTGTGTGTGCATTGCAGGTGGAGGGGAGGGGCGTGGGGGTCAACACCGACGCTCCCTCACGCCCCTCCCCTGTGGCCGTGCAGGGACTCGTGGGGACGGGAGGGAGGCAGCACTGCAGCATGGCAATCCCACTGCAGCAAGGGAGAGTATCGGGATGGGCTTGGCCTCTCAAGGTAAGCCTCGTACCTCTCTTTCCCGCTGCACTCGTTTTCTGCTAACTTGCCCTCTTGCGCTCATCCCTTTGATTCGCCCGTGCCTGTTTCAAGGCCTGCACTCACTCCCCTCCTCTTCCCTTCCGTTCTGCCCCCCTCCAGGTCACTCGCAATGCAGCAGAGACAGCTGAAGGGACCTGCTGTGGCAGCGTCAGCAGCTGGGGGCGCGGAAGCAGTTGGGGAGGGGAGGGGAGGGGAGGGGAGGAAGGGGACATCTCTCGGCGGCTCTTCAGCTGCCAGCTAAGTGCTCTCACCTCCCTGGACTCACTCTTGCCTGCTGCTCACTGCTCATACTGAATCACTCTTGTCGTTTTCACACTGTTGCTTTCTTGCTGCCAGTTCCTTTGCCGGTTGTGCATTCGCCTTCCCTTTGAAACAATGCCACTGGTTGAGCACGATTTGCATGCCTCAGACCCCCTCACTTCAGGTAACCCCCTTAGGTGCAGTGCCGTGCAGGTATCCCCTTCAGGTGCAGGTTCACCCCTCAGGTTTTTTTTCAGGTGCCCTTGGGTCTGCAGCTTG